TCCTCGCTGCCAAACTGCATTGCAAATCTGCAAAGCCACAACGATGAAGTTGGAAATAAAAAGCAAGGCCAGCGTACACAGAAGCAGCACCAGGCCAGAGATGGACAATCGACCAGCAAATCCCTTCATGCTGGCAGTCACTTGCTTCCATTGCCTCTGGCCCCTTCTTACGCTCCACCCGCGAGAGAACGCTCATCATCGTCGTCTTGCCAATGCCTAGCTCCCCTGGGGCAGTAGCTTAGAGCGAGCAATAAGCTCATATACCAGAATAATCAAACCATGGATACTAATGTTGGGTATAAATATCCTCTGTTGGTGGTTTTTTCCATTACAAAGAATCTAATAATGGCCGTTCCAATCCAACGGTCAAGATGTTAAAAAGCTAGTCTTGAAATGGCCATTTCGGGCGAGAGGTATGGAGGAGGGATTGTTGGACCCCCCAAAGGGTGAGTATGATCTTGCTGATATCTACCAGGGTTGGAAGCTTGGTCGTCACTGGATTATATGGCGCCAGTTCTTTCTGAATCTCGTTAGTCACTGCTACACCGCATATGGGATCTGGATGGGTAATACATATCTGCCCCCTCTAGATACTGAATTCAGACGGTTTGTGGGAGTCTGTGCGGTTATGGTGGCCTGTGCCATTTCAGGTAAGTTTTATTTTCCTGTTTTATTTTATGTAGTCTTGAGGAAACTTTGAACAGCGCGAATGTTGGCTACCGTGGGTCGAAAGAAGGCAATCGCGTATGGCTGTCTTGTTGCTGGCATCAGCGGTATCTGTTCCACAGCGACCACGAATTTGTGGGTGGTGCTCCCTTTTCAGGCGATACAGTTCTGGGGGTTTGCAACTCCATCAGGAATCGTACCTTTCGACGATTGGTATGGATGCGAGGGCGTGCTCCTCCTTGTAAGGGCTGCACTTTATGGTGTTTGTATGTGGTATGCTCAACCCATTGCACGAGGATGGCAATTTTTGGGAGCAGGTGTTGCGCTTGTCTATGCGCTACTGGTTCATGTCTACATGCTGGAGTCTCCACTTGAAATTCTGCGAAGAGGATATGGTTTAGAAGAACTCAAGACGCAACAGCTCGACATGCAAGTTATTGAGGCTATTCAAGACAAGGCTATTCAAGCTTTGGAGAAATTTGCTAAGGCAACAGGAAATGATTTACCAGCAGATATAAAAAGCCTGAAGCCAGAATATATTAAGCTTTTAAACCAATACTAGGAATTGTTGGTTTTGACATTTAAGAAACTTAGATTATGAATAGTTCTTTATTTATAGTTCAGGTTTTTATTATTTCGAAAGGTTATTTAGATTAATTTTGTATTTGTAATTTATAAATTTTCCTTGATATAGAATTAATCTTGTGTTTATAAATTATAAACATGTTTATAATTCTAAACTTCAACTTAACACTAAAAAAATTGTTATTAAAATATGTTTTGTCAAATTTTATTAATTTTTAATAACTATAGTTTTGATAAAAATTCAATATCTTTTGGAAAACTTTGCTACTTTTTAAAATGTAATTTAATAACTATAAAATTATTAGTGAATGTAACAATAGAGATCTGAATTTCATATAAAACTTGAATTTATTCACAAAATTGAATTTAAATTTTGTGAGTGCATGGAATATGGAAAGGGAATACAGAAATGTGCATATCAATTAGCCCAAAAACCCTAGCTTATATACAGGAGCGAGTGGTCCGGATTGAAACCAATATGACGGCTACCAAAATCCACTGCACTAATATTAGTATACGGCATCGTAGCTGTACACTTGGCCCTCACATCATCCCCTCCTCTCGGAATAATGGAAGGCCGTCAGGGTTTTCTTGTAGATGGGCCGGGATTTGGAGGAATGTCAAGAGGAGGCATCGACAGATCTGTAGACAGTATTAACTACTCCTGATCCCTTTGTATGAAGCGTTTTAACCGCTGCACATGCACAATCTCCGGAGGATCGGCTTGTTGAACATCATGCCGAACTTCATAAACTTGCAGTCCAACTTGCCGCAACACCTGATACGGTCCTTTCCATTGCGCAAGGAGCCCCTTAGATAAACGTGGTGTACATGCTTTATTTCGTTAAAGTGGAACTTATTCAGTAAAGTGGGACATTAATTAGCATGTGTCCACATGCCATTTCCTAGTACTTAATTAATATTTATTAATATTTCTATCAGTTTTTTAATTTATTTTTTATATTTCACAATATTATAACACAAAATCATATAAAAAGTTTTTAATTTATAAATTATAAAGCTAAAACTTCAATTTTTTATTGTTGTTATAAAAATGGCATGTGGCCACACACTATAAGTGGGATAATGAAAAATTTCACTTTAACGAAATAAAACATGTACCGTAAGATGGGGAAAACGGATTAACACCAAATCATCCACTTTGTACTCCGCAGGTGGACGATGATGGGAGTTGTAGCGCCGTTGTTATCCCACTTGTACGCGGCCTAAGTGTTCGGCAGACTCTGCTCGGACAAGTGGAAGAATGCTTGTCAAATACTGATCCCATGACCTAGCATCAGGAGCTCGTGGCAATCGCGAAGGTAAACCCAACTCTATTGGTAATATTGGATTATGACCATATAAAAGTTTATATGGTGAAGCACCAACAGAACTCTGCACCCCTGTGACATAGGCATACCAAAGAGATGGCAAATAACCATCCCAATCCGAATGCTGAAAGTTCACATACTTCGCAATCATCCTTTTGAATGTCCGAACGAGCCTTTCCACCAGACCGTCTGATTGTGGATGATAAACACTCGTAAAAGTGTGGTGTATCCCCAACCGAGATGTCAAAACATGAAATACCTCAACCATAAATGCAAGACCATTATCCGAAAGAATCCGCTCTGGTCACTTTGGAGGATCTGAAAATCCAAGAAATCCCAAATTATCTATCAATATATATATTTTGTTTTGATAGTGCCCAACTGGAAGCATGAGATTGATGATCGACTATAAACGTTGTCCACGTGCCCTCATCTGAACCGTCCGGAAAAAAAAAGAATTTAAATTGAAATGTAGGGCCGACTTGACCACTTAAAGGTATAAAATTCTCCCATAGGATGACCCACGAAGGTCGAGCCGCGGCACTCAATGCAGTGGAGAAGCTGCGGAGCCTGGGAGGAACTGAGATCTGTCCGGGTCTAAAGGCTGGATTCGATCTTCTCTCGCGGCGCAAGAACAGGAACCCAGTGTCGAGCATCATGCTTCTCACGGACGGGACAAAGTTCTTCCGGTGGATTCCTACCTCGAGAATGGGAGCGAGCGAGTTCCAGTGCACACTTTTGGATTTGGAAGTGATCATGATCCCGAGGCCATGCTGAGCATCGCCGAGGCCACGGGTGGCAGCTTTTGCTACGTGCAAGAGGAGTTTGCCGTCCAGCACGCGTTTGCCCAGTTCATTGGCGGGTTGCTTAGCGTGGTGGCACAGGAAGTGGAGGTCTGGATGGAGGCAAGCGGCAGAGCGCGGATCAAGAGTGTGGAAGCCACCGCCGGGACAACGGCCATGGCTGGCGATCGAGCTGCGACAGTGAAGCTTGGATCCTTGTACGCGGAAGAGGAGAGAGATATCCTGGTGGAGCTCTTGCTGCCTGGCTCTGACTCGAGCTCTTCGTCGCTGGAACTTCTCAAAGTTGGAGGGAGCTTTCGAGACCCGTCGAGCGACAAGACCCAGCAGCTTGCAAGTTCGAGCTTGGTGATCCAGGAGCTCAAAGCTGGCGAGGAAGAGGAAGCGACAAAGATCGAGGTGGACAGGCAGAAGAACCGTGTGAGTGCCTCGAAGGCCATGGCTGCCGCTCGGAGGCTCGGGTGTCGCAGCTCGGAAGACTTGGCGTCGGCAAAGCAAGCGCTGCTGGACGTGAAGCAAGAGATTGAGAGCTCCCGAGCGTTTGGAGCTGGCGATGTCTTGTCCAAGGGATTGGTGAGCGAACTCGAGGAGCTGATCCAGTGCATGATGGGGGATTATTACCGTTCCGGGGGACATGCTGTGCTGCTTGCGGCCGAGAATTCTCACGTCAACCAGCGATCTACGTACCAGTCGAGAGGTAAGACATTTTGGACAGCTCTTTTGTGTTCTAACTCTTGTGAATTTTCTCTGTTTACATCAGCTCCTTCTGCGAAAAGAGAATGTTCGGTGACATCCTATCGGACTTCGGCGATGGTAGATATGCTGGACAAATCCAAAAAGTTCAAGACTGAGAGATAGATTCAGATTTCAACTTGACAAAGCTAGACCTTGATCCTAACGGTTTGATGTTTACTCCCAATGTAAATAACCACGCGGTGTGTTAATAGCTCTCGGATTTTCGCTGGAAACACAGAGAACTTACAACTGCGAAGCGAAAAGAAAAGGAAACACCATCTACAATCAAAGAAAGTTTCTTCGATCTTCGATCTCTTCCAACTTCCAAGCAAAGAATTTGCAGCGCTTTCTCGAAAAGTTTTGCTACAAGGATTAGAGCGACCAATCACGGAAAGAGGTGGCGTTCCGTCCTGGGAAGCCATGCTCACGGCCTACACGCTCAATGCATTCGTGGAACGAGCAAAGGATCTCTGTGATTCCAAGGAGTGTGGTGGCTGCTACAAGAGTTTCTTCGAATCCATGCCTTGCTGGGACGACTCAAAGTTCTCGGTGCATGGAACTTCATAAGAACTCGAAGAGGTCGAGGAATTACCCCTCGTCCTCTTCACCGCAGCCGGAGCTAAGCTTTGAATCCTCGTCGCTCAATCCCACCTTGGTCCTTGCGGAGCTTCGATTCTGGCCTACATTTCAATCCAAATCACTTTAAAGCTCCACCGGGAGTGATCGATCAAGGCAAGAGTGTTGAGTCCCTTCGATTTTTATTGAAGCATTGGCGCTCTTTGTGAAATCCCAATCTTTCGTATTGGTCAATGTAGTCAAACATAGTCTTCCTTTGGAAAAAAACCTATAGAACTTTTATCTCGTTGAAAATATTTCGCGGCATTTGGGTTTAGTTTTAGGGTTCTTGCGAGAGGAGCGCATCGATCCAGCTCGCTCGGCCCCCGACACGACGCATTGACGCGTAGAAAACAAGCGCCCCATTTGATGCGCAGGTAAGCGCTCTCGTCTCTCCTCGCTTAGGGCAACAGGGGCGGGATAGATCTAAGCTCTCTCACACTCTCTCTCGCAACCAACGAATGGTGCTCGTGCTGCGCAACAGATCTGATCCCTCGCTGTGTGTGGTAGCTCTAGCGCAGCTGCATTCTCTCGTTTCGGGGGCCTGATTCGTGGATTTGTGTTTGGCTTGTCCAGGGGATCTAGCCACTCGCAAGACGATGATGAGCGTTCTCTCACGGGTGGAGCGTCGGCATTAGGAAGAAGGGGGCAGAGGCAATGGAAGCAAGTGACTGCCAGTATGAAGGGATTTGCTGGTCGATTGTCCATCTCGGGCCTGGTGCTGCTTCTGTGCATGGTGTCGCTGGTCTCGCAGTTGCGGCAAGACGGTGTCATCGTTCACTCTCATGTAAGCATTCCTCGCGCTTTCCTTGCTCTCGTTTTTAAAGCGTTTATCTCTTCTTTTTCTTTTGGTTTTTGGCAGATTGATGTGAATTCTCTTTGGACGAGCTCTTCTTCTTCTGGTTGGAGGCCTTCCTCGGCTCCCAGATCTTTTTGGCCGCGTAAGTAGAGTTTTTTTCTCATATCATTCTTTTCTTCTTGTATGTAACTTAGTGGACTATCTTGCTTGCAGCCCCTCCCAAGGAAAGCAATGGCTATCTCGTCGTTCGGTGCAATGGCGGGCTTAACCAGCAGCGCAGTGCCGTAAGAGACATTCTATTCTTCTTGCGTTTTATTTCCAGCTTCATCGATGTGTCATTGCAGATTTGTAATGCAGTTTTGGCAGCGAGGATAATGAATGCAACGCTTGTGTTGCCGGAGTTGGATACTAACTCGTTTTGGAACGATAAAAGGTCCGTATATCTTTTGCTTTCTCGTCCTTGATTATGATAAAAAGCAAACAGTTGTTTTTGATGTTGCAGTGGTTTTGCTGGCATCTATGATGTAGAACACTTTATCAAATCCCTTAGACACGACGTCAAGATTGTGGAGTCCCTTCCTTACGTCTCCGACAAGAAGAAGAAAAAGATGAAGGCTTTCCAGGTTGCTTACTCGTTCTTTCAAACCAACGTCGGAACTCTTGTCTGCTGTAGATCGCACCCTCCAAGTTGGTACGAGACCGAAGCGCTGGCTAAGATGAAACAGCACGGCGCGATATATCTCACTCCCTTTTCCCATCTCCTAGCCGGAGAGATTCCAAACGCCGAGTACCAGCGGTTGAGGTGCAGGGTAAACTTCCACGCACTGCGTTTCAAGCCCGACGTGATGCAGCTGAGCAACCAGATAGTGAGCAGGCAGGCCACTTCATGTCGATCCATGCTTGCATTCGCTGGGTACGTACTTTCTTCTTTCGCATTCTTTCTCCACCGACAAGCTTATCTCAGGTGCCTCGCCGTATTCAAACCGAAAGAGCAGGAGATACTACAACGAGAAGCGCTTGAAGAGGTCGGTCTCATTCTCCAGGCAATGGACTTGGACAACTCAACGCGCGACATCTTTGGAGGCGAGAGAATCGTCGCCTGGAGAACCGCACTACCGTCGCTGCTCCGGAGGAGCTGGAAGCTGTCCAAGCCGAGGGGAGAGGACTTCTGGGACCGACGGTGAACTACCCGGTGTGCTTGCTCTCGGACATCTTGATGAGAGGCGTGATGAGCGGTGGAACGTCGGGTGCATTCCGAGCCGTTTTGCACGAATCCCTGGCTGGCGAGAGGTGCCGTGCGAACACCGGCATGAATATCACTGCTTTGGAGGGGGGATCAAACGCGTCCTTTGGGACGATGTGGATTATCCGGGAAAAAGTAGACGATTTGTTCACAAAACTCTACCACATGTAGAGAAAAAAAGAACCGATCGCGAGTTCTACATCATAGTAAGCAGTCGAGAAATGCACCTTAAAAAACAGTAAGTGTTAGAAAGTAAAAGAAACAATCTCACATACCCGACGGAGAGGAGCACCAAGGCCAAGCCGCTTGCAATTCCATTTCCCCACTATTATAAGCAAAACAGACTTGTTACTTTATATCGCTATTCTTAAACCTTACCTTCATATTCTTGTTCTTGGTCACATGACCATGATACGCCCACAGAGCGCGGCAGCAGAATGCAACCAAAGACGTGAGGACGTTGACAGTAGGCAGTCGTCCATAATAGGCTGCGAACTACATGAAAAGGAAGAAAAGAAAACGTTTAGAAACCAAGAGAAGACAATAGAAAACTTATACTCCCAGGGGCGATGCTGTGGAGAGTAGCGTGGTCGCAATGCCGATGTAACCCACAAGCTCCCAAGTAGGAAAGGAGAGGTCCAAAAGCCTGAAGGAAACATACCACGCTGTGACGATCACCGGGGGCCAGAGGAAGCTGCCAGAGGTGTGGACAGTGTAGAGTATCTGCACCAGCGTTCCAAACTTGTTCACTTCAGAAGTTACAAGATCCCGACTGAGAAAGCAACAGAGCTCCAAGGTAGTGCAGTTCAAAGCTGCAACAAACATTGAAAAACATTTAGAGTTTGGAGAAAAACTAGCTTAGAATTAGAAAAAAAAACCAGCAAGGCCAAAGAAGACCAGGCTCTCGATCATGCTCGCGTTCTGGATGTCCATCCCGACAGGCCCAGACATGGCACCCGAGATGAGAGGCATCAGAGAAAGTAGAAGAGACAGTACAGCGGCCAAAAACTTTCTGGTGGTGAATTCCTGGAAATCCCTGTGGCTGTGAATCTCGTTGTGGCAAAGAACGAGAAGAATGAAATGTACCTCCTGCTGATTCCCTGGCTCCTGCTGGGGCGGCCGATCCTCCTGGTGCTGTCAATGAATCATGTTTGTGTCAAAGAAAAAAAAACCAGGAAATGTAGCTACCTGAAGCTGGCGCTGATTCTCCTCCTGGCCCCGATCCCCTGGCAGCAGATCCTCCCGGCGCCGATCCCCTGGCAGCCGATCCTCCTGGCGCTGATCCTCCTGGCGCCGATCCTCCGGGGGCAGATCCTGGCGAAATTTCACGCAGGAAAGCTAGGCGTGGACATACCTGAGGATTCTCGTCATCGGACAGGGGAGGGTTCTCCAGATCCTCCTGGCGCCCGGGGAGAAGAGGCTCCTCCATTGCTCCAAGATTTTGGCTAGGGTTCTACGCAATCCCTCCGAGTTTTCTTTGGAAAAAATTTGGCGCTCGAATTCAAATAAAAAAAATGGCAAGCGAGACGTTCTTCCTCCGGTGGATTAGAAACGAGGGTGGAGCTCTGCCAGAGGGAGAAATTGGCACTGCGCGTAGTGTTGGAGGAGCTGATCCGCGAGAACCAAGGCCACCATCGCCTTGGACACCATTGGAACAGCTGCAAGAAATCGATCGATAGGCATTCACGAGAGGAGAAAGGATTCCTGGATGTTACCTCGAGGAACGACGCAGTGATCATGACGAACACGAGCTCTTCTTGCCGGTCTCTCGTTCCAGTCTCTTGGAATTTCTGTAAGAAGCAATCACGCAAGCAAAATCAATGCCAGCGCAGTGAGAATTGATGAACTTTACAGTGATTGTAGACGTCGGCTTGAATGCTATTCTCATCACTATCGTCTCTTCTTCCCTGCATGACTTGTTCACAAGTTGAGGGAAAAACAGAAAGGAGATCCTGTCTAGAAACCCATGAGATTCCTTCATACTTCTTGTGTGTGTAGACAGAAAGGTCTAAACATTGCAAACGGAGATTGGTTCCATCTTGTGTTACCTTCAAAGTCAAAGCCTTTGGTGGCAGGCAAAGACATGAGAGCCTTGGCGAGCTCGGCTTCTAGCTTGTCAAGAACAGGAGCCCCAAGTCCCTGAAAGTAGACAGAAGGGTGATCAATACAGCTTTGCGTGAATGCGGGAGTAGATTTCTTACCCGAGGAACGTTTCTAGCAATCCAAACTGACGACTCCTCCCACGGAATCTCCCCTCACTCTCACAGCGTCGATGGCAGCGATCGTCTCTTCCGCCATAGCTTGATCCGGATGTTGCTCTCCACCGGGAATTACGAACACCAAGGAAATATTAAAGCACAAATTGCTTAGTACTCCTCTCTTTTTCCTGGACCTCGGTTCCGCCTTGCTGTTTGAGTAGCTTCTTTGCGATTGTCCCCGATGCTACTCTTTCTCGGGTGGATGATCTTCCTCCACCCTGCACGAGGTTTTTAAGCTTAAGACCCGAGAGAGTTTGCAAGGAAACGTTTAGATTTAACCTGGACAGCTACTTGAATCCGTAAGTAGCATCGGCATGAGACGGCCGCTAGATAAGCTAGAGCCAATCCTGCAGAATACCTCACATTAAGTTCCAGCGTCTCACTTTCTTTCTTCCGTTAACGAAAACTTACTCTTCTACGTTGATCCGTGTTTGGAACTAGAACAGCAAGTGTCCATTCCTATGAGAAAGAATTGGTAAACTTACAGAAGAAAAGAAAAGCAAGAAGCTACATTACCTTGTGCCACGCCAGAGAGAAATTTGCAAGTGCCTGTTTCCTTCCTTGGAGTTGTGATCCGACTTTGGCCCGGCCTCCTGTTCGTTGAGAAATGAAGAGAATGAGCAACATACAATGAAGACACGAAGAACATAGTACTTTATAACAAACAACGAAAGAACATACAAAGAACACGCAAAGAGTAACACGAAGAACTACACAAAAAGAACTCAAAGTAAAAGGAAACAAAAAAGTAGAAAGAAAAGAAAGAGCATACCTTCTGTCTAGATCCCTCCTCGGTGAGATTGAGCGCCGGAGGGCATCCAACGATGGCACATCCAACTCCTCCACCGTAAAAGTTGCAACGCAGAAGAGATTTCCAAAGGCATTTCCCACACCAGCACGAACTTCTGTCAAAGAAAAAAATACAGCTATCCAAGCAACCATCCAGATCCTCAACAAAAAAAACGAGGGAGAAGACCAAACGTAGTATGAACGTCTGGAAGAGCACGAAGACATAAGAACGTTTAAGTGTATGGCTATCACCGCATCCACAAAAGAAACGATCTACATTTCCAATCGAAAAAATCCATCGTTCTTCCAAAAACTCCAAGCAAACAACGAAAAAAATCCATCGTTCTTAAAAGAAATCCAAGCAACGATTCCAGAAAAAGAAGAGAAGCCCAAAAGTAAACAATGGAAGAACTCAGTAAGAGGCATTTGATAGCCGAGAAGGCCTTCCTCCTTGATCACCGCCATGGCGCCGCTGGCCGCGCCGCCCAGCTCCTCCCGACGATGTGGCACTGACAACCCTAGCGGTGGCGCGGTGAGGTCCTCCGCTACCAGCTCCAGCGATCCAGTGTGGGCGTCGGGCGCCATGGATTCCACGCGATTATCAACAACATTTCTACGCTTACAAGAAGATATTTATACTACATACAGTGTTCCAACAACAGAGATCACATGTCACGTTTTTGGTTTGCTTAAGCAAACCTATAGGGGGATTGGGATGGTAGTGAATATACTTAGAATATGCTTGAATATTCTAAGATATTCTACTATCTAGCGGTTGTTATTCATTTAGATTAATCTTGTATTTATAATTTATAAACTTTCTTAAACCTTTTCTAGTATATTCTTTTTTATTCTACCATCTAACGGTTGATATGCAATAAAATTAATCTTGTATATATAAATTACAAACATGCTTATAATCATAAGCTTGATTTGATCAATTGGATTAATAAGTAATAATAACACTAGTATTAAGCAAACCAAGCGTTGCTACATGCAACACGTAGCAATTTTTTTTATTATTTCCATGGATCGCATTTTTCCACATAGCCACATGTGATTAAATACGCAAACCAAACCATGGCAGTTGGTTTGATATATGAGCTAATAACAATCATTGCTCGCTCTAAGACATAGGTTATTAAGCTGCTACATGCCTGCGAAAGTAGCATCAATGCTCCTCTAGTTCGATCATCACTACATTTGAGGAAAGAAAGCGTAACATATTTAGCCGTAAGCTTACAATATTCTGGCTTCAGGCTTTTCATATTTGCTGGTAAATCGTTTCCTGTTGCCTCAGCAAATTTCTCTAAAGCTCCAATAGCCTTGTGCTGAGTAGCCTCGTCGAATCGCGCTGTTCAAAGAACTAAATCAAAATTCCATGAAATGAGATAACTACACCATACATTGGCTTGAAGATCTCCTTAGCCTGCTTGATATGAAGCACCTTTAAAAACCGTGAAGAGAAACCGAGGAAAACTCCAGACCTCAATGAGAGCGACATGAACAATTTCCTTGACATGGGAATCCTCCTCGTGCACGTCACATCTAATGAATTTGCTCAGCTCATTGCTGAACTCAACACCAGCAATACAAAGATCGTTGACACGAAAACCTGGTCAATCAGAACAATCTCATACTCAAAATCTGGATGGAGAAAAAGTTGGGACACAATGCCAAAACCTCTCTTTCTTTGATTGGAATTGGAACACCTGTGAAAAAGCTGAGAAAACCATCGTAAAAAACAAACAAATTTGAACGTTGGCCATACAAAGAATGTAAGAGAAGAAAAAGAAAAAGAAGAAAAAGAAGACGCCAGCAGATGTTTCTGGCATGGGGAACTTCTCGGAGAAGATGGCTTCCAGACTGCCTACGCAAGAAAGAGGAGGCCTTCTGGTGCGACAGTGTCAGAAATAGAACAATATAACAAAGAGAAAGCAAAATATTGATTGGGAACAGCCTGTGAACCATAGAATTCGGAATTGACAACTGCAAAAAAAAAAGAGCGTAGAGATTTACTTGGCAGTGATAATGCAGGACAAAAAGAGATAGAGAAGGAGAGCATTCCCATCAATGGTTATCAACCACCAAGAAACTAATAGAATAGAATAAAAAGGAGCAATGCTCCAAAGCAACTCAATTATAATCACCCTCTCGTATTGCGTCTGGCCCCAGTCTCGCCCTTGCCAATCACTTTGGAGGATCTGAAAATCCAAGAAATCCCAAATTATCTATTTATCTATCTTTCTATATATATATTGTTTTGATAGTCTTGTAGTGCCCAACTGGAAGCATGAGATTGATGGATGCAAAAATGCTATCGTTTTAGCGTCAGTGGCGTGCTCACTACCCACGTAAACGTTGTCCAGGTGTCCTCATCTGAACCGTCCGAAAAAAAAAAGAATTTAAATTGGAATGTAGGGCCAACTTGACCTCTTAAAGGTATAAAGTTCTCCCATATCGATCAGGAGCTATGGCGGCAGGGTTTGAGAAATTCGAGGTAAGCGGCATGGATGTCACGCTCGAGGAAGAAGAAATTGTTCATCTTAGCGAGGAGCTAGGCTGGCTAGTGATTGGCGAGCAGCCAGAGCTCAAGATCATCGGCGAGGTCGACAAGATCAAGGCCAAGGGAGAAGAACAAGTAGAGCGAATCTTTACAGCGCTGGTCCATCTCAAAGCTCCCAAAGATGAGAGCTCGGCCGCCGACAGTGCCCGCGCCCCGGTCGATCTGGTGACAGTGCTGGATGTGAGCGGCAGCATGCGCGGCCAGAAGCTGGAGCTTGTCAAGACCGCCATGGAGTTTGTGATCCGGAATTTGCGACAGCAGGATCGCCTCGCGATCGTCTCCTTCTCGGACGAGCCCAAAGTCCATCTCGGTCTCAAGAGGATGACCCACGAAGGTCGAGCCGCGGCGCTCAATGCAGTGGAGAAGCTGCGGAGCCTGGGAGGAACCGAGATCCGTCCGGGTCTAAAGGCTGGATTCGATCTTCTCTCGCGGCGCAAGAACAGGAACCCGGTGTCGAGCATTTTGCTTCTCTCGGACGGGATGGACAATGCGATCATGTTCAAGCGATGCAAAGTTCTTCCGGTGGATTCCTACCTCGAGAATGGGAGCGAGCGAGTTCCAGTGCACACTTTTGGATTTGGAAGTGACCATGATCCCGAGGCCATGCTGAGCATCGCCGAGGCCACGGGTGGCAGCTTTTGCTACGTGCAAGAGGAGTTTGCCGTCCAGCACGCGTTTGCTCAGTTCATTGGCGGGCTGCTTAGCGTGGTGGCACAGGAAGTGGAGGTCTGGATGGAGGCAAGCGGCAGAGCGCGGATCAAGAGTGTGGAAGCCACCGCCGGGACAACGGCCATGGCTGGCGATCGAGCTGCGACAGTGAAGCTTGGATCCTTGTACGCGGAAGAGGAGAGAGATATCCTGGTGGAGCTCTTGCTGCCTGGCTCTGACTCGAGCTCTTCGTCGCTGGAACTTCTCAAAGTTGGAGGGAGCTTTCGAGACCCGTCCAGCGACAAGACCCAGCAGCTTGCAACTTCGAGCCTGGTGATCCAGGAGCTCAAAGCTGGCGAGGAAGAGGAAGCGACAAAGATCGAGGTGGACAGGCAGAAGAACCGTGTGAGTGCCTCGAAGGCCATGGCTGCCGCTCGGAGGCTCGGATGTCGCAGCTCGGAAGACTTGGCGTCGGCAAAGCAAGCGCTGCTGGACGTGAAGCAAAAGATTGAGAGCTCCCGAGCGTTTGGAGCTGGCGATGTCTTGTCCAAGGGATTGGTGAGCGAACTCGAGGAGCTGATCCAGTGCATGATGGGGGATTATTACCGTTCCGGGGGACATGCTGTGCTGCTTGCGGCCGAGAATTCTCACGTCAACCAGCGATCTACGTACCAGTCGAGAGGTAAGACATTTTGGACAGCTCTTTTGTGTTCTAACTCTTGTGAATTTTCTCTGTTTAAATCAGCTCCTTCTGCGAAAAGAGAATGTTCGCTGACATCCTATCGAACTTCGGCGATGGTAGATATGCTGGACAAATCCAAAAAGTTCAAGAGTGAGAGATAGATTTAGATTTCAACTTGACAAAGCGAGAGCTTGATCCTAACGGTTTGATGTTTACTCCCAATGTAAATAACCACGCTGTGTGTTAATAGTTCTCGGATATTCGCTGGAAACAGAGAACTTACAACTGCGAAGCGAAAAGAAAAGGAAACACCATCTACAATCAAAGAAAGTTTCTTCGATCTTCGATCTCTTCCAACTTCCAAGCAAAGAATTTGCATGCGCTTTCTCGAAAAGTTTTGCTACAAGTATTAGAGCGACCAATCTCGGAAAGAGGTGGCGTTCCGTCCTGGGACGCCATGCTCACGGCCTACACTCTCAATGCATTCGCGGAACAAGCAATGGATCTCTTTGATTCCAAGGAGTGTGGTGGCTGCTACAATAGTTTCTTCGAATCCATGCCTTGCCGGGACGACTCAAAGTTCTCATGGAACTTCATAAGAACTCGAAGAGGTCGAGGAATTTAGCTCCTCATCCTCTTCACCGCAGCCGGAGCTAAGCTTTGAATCCTCCTCGCTCAATCCCACCTTGGTCCTTGCAGAGCTCGATTCTGGCCTACATTTCAATCCAAATCACTTTAAAGCTCCACCGGGAGAGATCAATCAGGGCAAGAGTGTTGAGTCCCTTTTAAAGCATTGGCGCTCTTTGTGAAATCCCAATCTTTCGTATTAGTCAATGTAGTCCAAGATAGTCAAACATAGTCTTCCCTTTGGAAAATAAAAGGGAATAAACTCGTCTCTTTCGTTGAAAATATTTCGCGGCATTTGGGTTTAGTTTTAGGGTTCTTGCGAGAGGAGCGCATCGATCCAGCTCGCTCGGCCCCCGACACGACGCATTGACGCGTAGAAAACAAGCGCCCCATTTGATGCGTAGGTAAGCGCTCTCGTCTCTCCTCGCTTAGGGCAACAGGGGCGGGATAGATCTACTCTCTCTCACACTCTCTCTCGCAACCAAAGAATGGTGCTCGTGCTGCGCAACAGATCTGATCCCTCGCTGTGTGTGGTAGCTCTAGCGCAGCTGCATTCTCTGGTTTCGGGAGCCTGATTCGTGGGTTTGTGTTTGGCTTGTCCAGGGGATCTAGCCACTCGCAAGACGATGATGAGCGTTCTCTCACGGGTGGAGCGTCGGCATTAGGAAGAAGGGGGCAGAGGCAATGGAAGCAAGTGACTGCCAGTATGAAGGGATTTGCTGGTCGATTGTCCATCTCTGGCCTGGTGCTGCTTCTGTGCATGGTGTCGCTGGTCTCGCAGTTGCGGCAAGACGGTGTCATCGTTCACTCTCATGTAAGCATTCCTCGCGCTTTCCTTGCTCCTCGTTTTTAAAGCGTTTTGTCTCTCTTGCTCCTTTTTTTTTTTTCTTTTGACAGATTGATGTGAATTCTCTTTGGACGAGCTCTTCTTCTTCTGGTTGGAGGCCTTCCTCGGCTCCCAGATCTTTTTGGCCGCGTAAGTAGAGTTTTTTTCTCATATCATTCTTTTCTTCTTGTATGTAACTTAGTGGACTATCTTGCTTGCAGCCCCTCCCAAGAAAAGCAATGGCTATCTCGTCGTTCGGTGCAATGGCGGGCTTAACCAGCAGCGTAGTGCCGTAAGAGACATTCTATTCTCCTTGCTTTTTATTTCCAGCTTCATCGATGTGTCATTGCAGATTTGTAATGCAGTTTTGGCAGCGAGGATAATGAATGCAACGCTTGTGTTGCCGGAGTTGGATACTAACTCGTTTTGGAACGATAAAAGGTCCGTATATCTTTTGCTTTCTCGTCCTTGGTTATGATAAAGAGCAAACAGTTGTTTTTGATGTTGCAGTGGTTTTGCTGGCATTTATGATGTAGAACACTTTATCAAATCCCTTAGACACGACGTCAAGATTGTGGAGTCCCTTCCTTACGTCTCCGACAAGAAGAAGAAAAAGATGAAGGCTTTCCAGGTTGGTTACTCGTTCTTTCAAACCAACGTAACTCTTGTCTGCTGTAGATCGCACCACCGCGAGATGGTCCTCCAAGTTGGTACGAGACCGAAGCGCTGGCTAAGATGAAACAGCACGGCGCGATATATCTCACTCCCTTTTCCCATCGCCTAGCCGAAGAGGTTCCAAACGCCGAGTACCAGCGGTTGAGGTGCCGAGTAAACTTCCACGCACTGCGTTTCAAGCCGGACGTGATGCAGCTGAGCAACCAGATCGTGAGCAGGCTCCGCGCTGAAGGCCACTTCATGTCGATCCATCTCCGTTTCGAGATGGACATGCTTGCATTCGCTGGGTACGTACTTCCTTCTTTCGTAGTCTTTCTCCACCGACAAGCTTCTCTCAGGTGCCTCGCCATATTCAAACCGGAAGAGCAGGAGATACTACGAAAGTACCGCGAGCAAAACTTTGCCAAGAAGCGCCTCGTCTACAACGAGAGGCGCTTAATCGGGAAGTGTCCCTTGACACCGGAAGAAGTCGGGCTCATCCTCCAGGCAATGGGCTTCGACAACTCGACCCGCCTCTACCTCGCAGCGGGCGACATCTTTGGAGGCGAGAGATTCATGCAGCCACTGCGAGAGATGTATCCTCACCTGGAGAATCGCACCACCGTGGCCGCTCCGGAGGAGCTGGAAGCTGTCCAGGCCGAGGGGAGAGGACTCCTGGGACCGGCGGTGGACTACATGGTGTGCTTGCTCTCGGACATCTTCATGCCAACTTACGACGGTCCCAGCAACTTTGCCAACAATCTCCTCGGCCACAGGCTCTACTACGGCTTCCGGACGTCCATCCAGCCCAACAGGAAGGCTCTGGCACCGATCTTCATGGCTCGCGAGAGTGGTGGCGGCGCCGCCGCCGCAAACTTCGAGGCCATGGTGAGAGGCGTGATGAGCGGTGGAACGTTTGGAAGGTCTCACCGCCGGGTGAATCCCGAGTCGTTCTACACGAATCCCTGGCCGGAGTGCTTCTGTAGGAAGGAGAGCGATGATCCGCGCGAGAGGTGCCCGGCGAACACCAGGATGAATGCCACGGCTTCGGAGGAGGAGGGTAGCGACGGGATCAAACGCGTCCTTTCGGACGATGTGGAATGAAATAGTGCATAGTATCTCATTGTTTTGGATTGATACTTATCGAGAGTTTATGATGAGAGTACATGGAGATCATAGAGAGTATCAGGGAATGCAAGACGTTGGTAGAGGCGAATGATTTGCACGATCGCGTTGCTTCATCTCAGGCCCCACTCGATACGTTTGTTGGTAACAAGCTGATTGAAATGCATGGCAGGGTCGGGAGCTTGAGTCAAGCCCGAGAGATCTTCGACAGGTTGGGGAGACAAAGAAACTCGTATTCTTGGGTTATAATGATGAATGCCTACTCTAGAAACGGCGAACTGGCCCTTGCGAAGCAAACGTTCGACGCTATGGCTCAGCCCAATCTGGTCGCATGGAATGCTCTTCTTTCAGCATATGCCCGTGCAGGGCATCTTCTAAGCACCCAAACATTATTTGATCAAATGCCACAGCACGACCTCATCTCTTTTTCCACAGTGTTTTTCCTGATAGCTCACAATAACTGCGTGGAAAGAATCCAGAGATTTTTTGACAAGATACCCCAAAAGGACATTGTGTTGTGGACAACTCTTCTTACAGCATATGCCAGGAAAGGGGATTTGCGGAGCTCAAAGCGTGTGTTTGATGAAATGCCATTTCGCGACCTCATCTCATGGACTGCCTTGCTGACGGCTTACGTGGAGGCCTGGAATCTCGTTGACGCTTTTGCTGTGTTTGACCAGATGCCCGAGTGGAATCTAGTGACGTGGAACTCCTTGTTGACCGCGTATGCCCAGGCGGGAAACGTTGAAAAGGCCAAGTCCACTTTTGACCAGATTGACTCTCCCAACATCGTGACGTGGAACACCATGTTGACCGTATTTGGTCAATCCGGCAATTTGGAGGAATGTAAGAGTTTGTTTTGGCAAATGCCGGTAAGGGACTTGACAACATGGAACATAATTGTGTCCGCGTATGCCCAGAGTGGGCATCAGCGGGATGCTTGTGGAATGTTTGACCGGATGCCACAGAGGAATGTTGTCTCCTGGAATTCGTTGCTTTCAATGTATGGTCAACGTGGTCAGCTCAACAAAGCAAAGCAAGTGTTTGGCTCTATGCCCGAGCTGGACATTGTCTCTTGGAACTCTATGCTCTCGGCGTACATCCAAAACGAGTGCTTGACAGAGGCAAAACACTTGTTTGACAAAGAGATGCCTTTTCATAACATGGTTTCCATGTCTTTGATCTTGGCAGCGGTGGCACAGGCAGGAAATCTGAGCCTTGCGAGAGATACTTTCAGTAAAATGCCAAGGCTGAATATAGCATCATGCACCACAATGCTGCTTCATGAGATTCCGGTTGAAGCTGCCACTATCTTTAAGCAAATGCCATTCCACGATCTACCAGCTCTTAATGCAATGCTGGCTGGATTTTCTCACAATGGGGAGCTGGAGGAAGCCAAACAAGTGTTCAATGAAGTGATGCCACAGCACGACATGGTTTCCTTTAACACAATGCTAGCCGCTTTCTCACGGGCAGGGAATCTAGAAGATGCCCGGTGCCTGTTCCTCAAGATGCCGGCACAAGACATTTATACTTGGAACTCAATGCTCGCGGCCTACATCCATATGGGCTACATCAAAGACGCAAAATCGTTCTTCTACAGTATGACCCAAAGAGATGAAGTATCTTGGACGTCTCTTCTTTGTGCATATGCCCAAGAAGGGCATTTGTTAAAAGCAAGACAGTTGTTTGATCGAATCCCACATCTCCAAAGCCTTGTAATCTGGAACATCATGCTCCATGCCTACTTCCAGGTGGGGGAGTTTATGCTCGTCTGTGATCTCAACCTCATGCTCATGCTCACAATCGAGATCCCAGATGGTTTCTACTTCACCATGGCCATGATCTCGTGCAGCCACCAAGGAAAGCTCGTCAAAGGAATGCAGTGCTTCACTTCCATGGCCACAGACTTTAGCATAGAGCCCTCGAAGCAGCACTACACTTGCATGGTGGACTTGCTAGCGAGGGCCGGGCATCTGACAGATGCCCAGGAGGTGATCAATGAGATGCCGTTTGCGGCTGATGGTTTAGACTGGATGTGCCTCCTTGGGGCGTGTAGAAATCATGACAGCCTAAAGCACAGCCTCAACACAGCCAAGCTTATGGTAAAATCTCATCCTGGCTATGGAGGTGCTTACGTTTTGGCTATGAACTTGATTCGTCACCCTCTAAATGCGAATAGTCCTTAGTTTATTTCTTAGTTTAGTGTCTCTATAAGCTCGCTGCTAAATATTCTTTGGGGATTGAAAAATCCGTGGAGTTCTTGATCTTAGAGCCCTGGATACGTTGGATCGACCAGCTTGTATGAACTTACACTTCTTTTTCTTCTACAAACAAAAAAGCAAGCGACAAAAGTTTCGCTTTGAAACTCTCGATGGATCTTGTCTTGACGATCGATAATCAGGCAGGTTCCATACTTATACTTCTACAATTCTAACTATTACTTATTATCACATCTTTGTTTCTCTGTCAGCAAATCTACTTACTGGGTTTGGACATGGCGGTACTTCGGGAAGAGTGTCTCTATAAGCTCGTTGGTAAAGATTCCCCGGGGATCGATCTCAATCTGAGCTTTGACGAAAGAATCCACGGGGAATCTCTTCTTGAGCCGCTCCCGGGACCACTCGGCTTCCTCCTTATCTCGAATCTGCAAGTAAAGAAGAGTGAGTGATCGATCTATCGCAATCTTTGAAAACTAATGTCACGCACCTCGACTTTTGCCCAGTGCTCGTACGCTCCATACGGATCCCAGAGATTCTTTTGGACAGCACCACGGTAGTCAAAGAAGCTCTCGGTGATCGCCTGCCTCTGCGCAGGATCTTCAGTCGGCAAGTACATGATGATTCCAACCTACATGGGACAACAAACAAGTTTGAGAAAGAAAGGAAAAATCAGATTTGCTTACCCAGGAGAACAAGCGATCTGGAGAAGGATCTGATGCTGGCGACATGGAGCTTCTGCTACTCGAAGTCCACCGCTGCTCGATAGGCCCTGGCGCTGGAATGTTTCTCTTTCTGATCAGCTCCAGCAGCTCCTCCATAAACTTGATGTCGCTCATGTCGGGCTCGTCCACTGTTCCCGCGGGAAAGCAAACCTCTGACACCCACTGCTGGCCACCACAGTCGAAGCTCAGGATCTCGTGGCTCCAGCCCACGCGATAACCTGTGTTTCGTCTCCAGTAGGTTGCTTCGGCCTTGTTGACGCGCTTGACATGCTCGGGATCAAGAGGTGCAAATGCCAGCACTCTGTCGCGCATTGCCGGGAAAGTCATAGCCTCTTGGTATACCGTCCCGGTAGATCCTTTGCTTCCAGCAGCAGTGCCACTCCATATTCCAGCCATGGCATTAACTTTTGGGGGCATCTCACTTTTCGTTTCCGGCTGACTGAAGAAAACGGCTCACAGTCATACAAGATCCATTTGAAATATTGGTACTACATACCCGCGCTTTCGAACCATATCGTTATAGACGTCCATCATCGACTTTATTTTGCCAGCGTCATCTTTCTCCTTCTCGGTAGGAGGTTCTTGGCCTTCAAGCAGAGGATTACTCTGGATTACGACGACCACGTCCGTGTAAGGAATCCACATATATCTGAGGTGCCTGTTTTGCTGAAGCCACTTCCTATAAAAGACATTTAATCAAATTAGCAAGTCAGGAGTAAACCAAAAAAGTAAGCTTACTTGTGATTCTTTCGTACTTCTTTCATGTTGGAGACGAGAGTTTGCTCCACAAGCTTGTGGGCAGGCACACACTGAAGAGTAACTTCAGCTACGATTCCCAATGTGCCGAGACCACAGCGAGCAAGATGAAACAGTTCCGGGTCGGATTCTTCGGAAAGCTCGATCGTCCCCCGGGTAGGAGTAACAACCTTCATCTTTACCACCCGCTCGTCGCCGGGTGGAATGGCTGCTCCAGTTCCATGAGCTCCGACCTGGAAAATTCGAGTGTTATCTTTGCGGAAGTCGAAAAACTCAATAAGAAATTATACCTGGATAAATCCTCCTACTTGCTGTTCCTTGATAGAGGCGTAATTTTCCAAAGTCAACCCGTGAGGCTTTAAGGCCTCCACCACTTGATCAATCCTAGCTCCTGCCTGTACCGTTATCTGCTTCTTCGTCGCGTCGACAACCAAGACTTTGTCCATCAGTGCCATGTTCACCATCCCTTCGTTGGAGAATCCCAGTCCATTCGGCGAAAGGCCGGATCCAGTAGGCCTGATGGTCCTCGTCGTGACATGCCCGAGCTTCACAATCCTCTCCAAGTCGTAGAGGGTCTCTGGGTGATGGTAGTACCTCGGATGAGCTTCGTGAGTGTTACTCCAATTAGTCACGGTCTCCTCTTCTTTGCTGGTGATGCTCTCGTCCTCTTGAGTCCTAGACCACGGAGTACCATAGTACGTCCCAACAGCGCACGTTAGCAGCAGCAACCCATATAAGCTGTAGCGTATGGAATTGGGGAGAGAGCCAACCGGAGGAAGACTTGCCACAGACCTCCACGAATTCCCAAACAAAGGAGGAAGGTTGCTGCTGTGAGCGGTGCCCAGTCTCACCGCGGAAATCAATCTTTTGCTCGAATCGGGCTTTGCAGTAGCGCAAGAACTAATTCCTCGCGGAAACCCAAGCGTTCCTGGATTGCTGGAAGGGAGAAACCTGTAAAGCTGGCCCCGGAGAACATCTTGAGCAGCGCAGCTAGTGGACTCAGTGCGTAGAATCCCAGCGCCAGTGGCGGATGAAGCCAGGCGAGCCCTGTAAGCCGCAAAAACATGCTTAAAAAGCTCCGATCTCCTCATCCTGGAAAGCACCCAGAATTAAATCGCAAGAAGAAGAGGAGAGAAAACTTTTACCTCCGCGAGAACGATCAGAGGAAAAGCTAGCAGTTGATGGAATCACCCTCAGCAGACGCGCGCATCCTCAGCAGTACCTACATTCCAGGAATCCCGTCGCCATAGCCAAAACCTCAAGAATCTATTAGGGCTTTAAAACTTCGCTATATGTGCATGCGCGAGAAACCACGTGGCAGAGAGAACAAGATGACGTGGCAAACACTGGAAAATTAATCCCTGGGAAAGCAAAAGTGAGCCGACGAGCTTCGTTTAATTGCACAGAACTTACCTCTACCTAGCTGGATCAATTCGATTCCCGGCCTGAGAAGAACCATGAAAAAAGATCGATGAGCTTCGCGAAGAACTTACCTCCAGATGGATCCACTTCGATTCCCGGCCTGAGAAGAACCATACAAAGCATTCGATGAGCTTCGTTTAATTGCGAAGAACTTACCTCCAGATGGATCCATTCGATTTTCGGCCTGTGAGAAGGATGCAGAAACAATCGATTAGTTTTTCTTCCTGGCAAAGGAAGTAAGAACGTACCCCGGGGATCATTGGGAGTCACTGGAGTTCAGACGGACGGAGAAGATCAGTGCATTGCGGTCATTGAGTCGACGCAGGCAAAGTTTCATCACGCCTTTGTCCGTTAAGTTCTTGCCGTTTGGCAGATCTTTCCTCAACGCCGTCATCAGAGCCGGACGAAGGTCTTCCAGCTGCTGTGACCCGTGAAACATGAGGTGAAGATAGCAGTAGGCAGAGTACAGTCCCTCTGGTCCTTCAAAAAAGCTGCAAAATGAAGAGCTCGAATCGAACAATTGATCAAATTGCAAAGTCCTTACTCGGTGTGGTAGTACAAATCGTTGCTGTCCGGCATGCCACCTATCATTCCGTGTATCACCTTATCGAGTTTCCCGTAGAGCTCTGGATTCTCTTGCCGGACAAACTCACTCAGCCTTTTCCAGCTTAGACGGCAATAGCTGATCGATCAAGCAAATGAAAAGTATATAGGGAAAAAGAAAGAAGGATCAAATTTGTATAGTCTGCCTATTACGAATCGCGGTCTTACCAGGCATCGAACCTTGCGTCCTCCTCGTCATCAAGGCTGCAGTGGAGAGGTTTTCATCCCAATGAAATCGTTTGAAACAGTACCAGTCGGGGTAATCGGGGTTCTCGATGGTTTCCGCCTCCTCTCGCGTTCTTGCCTTCATGATCTCCTCCGGCGATGCCTTGGGTACATTCTTCCTGACGATCGCACCGTTAGCCATGGCGCCAGAAAGAAAGAATGGAGATCATACCTGTGTCGTGCCAGATGCGAGGACTTGCTGCCAAAACACCCCCAAATTTCAGTCGTGAAAGAGGAGATTCACAAGAGAGCATACGGGATCTTGTCGCGGACCATCCGGATGATCTGTCGCTTGATAATCCGGGCCTCCTTGCGAGAATCCGCGAGCTCCAGCTCCAAGAACTTGAACAGCAGTTTACCTCGATCTTCCGAGGAGCACAGCGCCAGGAATCGATCGACGAGAGCTTCCCCCGGCGTGCGCTCTCTCTTCCGCTGCCGCGGCGCCATTCTCACAACCTTGCCAGGCATTGCAACTCGACCCTAGCTTCAAAAAATGGGCGGGAATTTATGTAAGCTAGAGGACGTCCCCGGTTCGAATCCCTTCCCCAAGGTTTTCAGTAGAAACCACTCTCTCGTAGCCCATAAGACGAACGAAGCTTTGGAGGAGCTGTTCTTCCACTAGTTTTTCATCCACTCTCTCCTGCCCGAGCTCTCGAGCGAGCGACGTGACCTCCTTGTCCAGGATTCCACACGGGACGATGTGCTTAAATCCATCCAGATCGGTGTTGGCATTGAATGCCAGGCCGTGCATCGTCACGCCCTGGGGAGCGCTGATCCCCAGCGCGCCAATCTTCCGTCGCTGATCGATCCAGCAGCCTGTCTGGGAAGGGATTCTTCCGGCCTGGAGCTTGTAATCCCTCGCCACTTCCAGCATGAGATCTTCCAGCCGCTCGACAAAGAGCCGGATTCCAATCCCCAGCGCCCGGAGCGAGACGATAGGGTAGAGAATCGGCTGGCCGGGGCCGTGGAATGTGGCATCGCCGCCGCGATGCGTCTGGTGGACCTCGATCTGGAGGCGCTGGAGCTCGGATTGGGGCGTGAGAATGGCGTCGGAGAGGCTGTGGCGGCTTAGGGTATGGCGGCCGAGCGTGATCGTGGGAGGATGCTGCGCCAGGACGAGCGTGTCATCGATGCCGCCACTGCGCCGCTGCTCGTGGAGATTGCGCTGAAGTGCCAGAGCTCGATTGTAGGGTATCGTCCCCGCCCGCAAGACCTGGAGCGTTCTCATTCTAGAGGGAAAATATTTGGATTAGGGTTTGAGGAAGAAAGATAGCGCCAGAGCGTGGATTGATCGCTCACTGCGATGGAGGGCTGATTTTCACGAGCTCCAAGAAGGGGATTGATGGTTCTTGCGAGGCGCTGGCTCCGGGATCGTAAGATCAGCCGCATTTTACACAAGTTACAGGGAAGAGGAGCTCACAACTCGGCCAAAAGAAGAATGCTGCCACCGTTAACTATGCTCTTAGAACTTTCTCCTCATTGTCACAATGATCCAGGGGTGTGTGGGCGAATCGGCCGCTTTCTTGTGTGGATGATCCACACTTCTGAAGAACAGGCAACGAAGAGGTATGTAACTTATTTCATCCAAAAACTTCACCTGATAGAAGAAGCTCTTGGCAGGCACCTTATACGAACGAGTTTCTCTCGTCCATTCACTCGGAGTCCACTGCTACTTATGTATTTCAGTCATGGAGATACAACACTTGCGGCAAAAAGATGTCTGGAGCATCGATTTTTTCACGAGAGCTTGCCGGACTGAGGAGAAAGCTTGCGAGTTTTGGCCGAGGATGCGCTTATCCATGCTAATCTTATGGCTGGTCTTAAAGGTACGTTATGTTTTTCGACTTTTTGTTACGTTGATGGCGCATGAAAGTCTCTCTCTCTCAGGGGTCCCTGCGGAGGAATGGTCTTTTACCAAAGAGGAAAGCGACCGGCAAGAAAAATCTCGCGAGGCCGAAGTCTGCTCGCGGTTTGTTGTGATTGTCCTCGCAAATCATATTGCGGCGCGGCAAGTCGCATTCAAGCAAGTGAACAGCACGCAGCTTACATCAGGTAAGTAAAGAAGAACACTCAGGCTCGCCCAAGAGATGGAACAAGCAACCATCTCTTGCAGTGGGATTTTTGCGGCGGCGTCTTGGTCTCACTGGTGAGCACCAGCAGTCCTTTTCGAACAGTGACTTACGCACCGTCGCATTTGTTCCAGGCAGCCGGAGTGTTTTCCAGAACTGAGAAGTCCAAACAAAAACGCTGTTGCCGTATAGGAGTGTATTTTTTATTTATTCTTTCATGGCCGCAGGAACACCGGCCACGAAACAGCTCGTCCCGTGCAGAGAGAACACGGGGAGTTTCTCGGGGGACTAGAGGACAGCAGCGAATTAATGGAGCTACGGGTGGAGGTGGACAGATTTGGCTGTGGATTCGAGGTTCCTGGTCTGGATCTGGATTCTGGAAGCAGTGGCAGCAAGGAAAACAGCAGCAGCCAAAGCGAGCAAGCAGCAGCCAAGTAGCGGCGCGGCGATTTGATGGTTTCGTCGTCTCTCGCCAGAGCTTTGGAGGTGTGCCACTTTGTTAAACTGTCTTGGGTCCCATTGACTTGAATGTTTCGTGTGGTGTGACAGGGGCCTTGAAGATTTTTGGACACCTCGCCGTGAATCAAACAGGGATTCCAAGTTTTCACGCTACCACAAGTCGTATAATCCATTGTTTTTCCAGCGCGCGCGATCATTGAGGCGAATCTCCAATGAGTGTAAGCTCTTTTGTTTATAGAGTTTGATCTTTCTTCTCCAGCGATGATCTGAAAAAACTTGGTTTTTACGCTCTGGCGAAGTTTCGATTGACTCCTTCAGAGGTACGTGAAACAGATCCGCAAAGAAAACACGCTACACAGTCTGTGATCATTTAATGAATGCTTCCATTTATACAGGAGAAAACGTCTTTTTGTACACGACAACCTTTTGCCTTCTCCTCGACGGCGCCGAGCGAGAGAGCTATGGATGGAAAACTCCTCCACTGCGGTTTCCTCGTGAGCCCACGACTTTGGATCGATCAAACTCTTGCGCCGTCGGTCGAGACTCATCGCATCCTCGTCGTCGCAAACGCTTGCCACTTGAGAGGCCGGAAGAGATTGCGAAGATCCAGCCACACGAAGAGCGCGCGGCAGGCATCAAACGGGATCCTGATGTAGCTCCGCCAGGCGCAGCTCGAGGGAGAGCACTTGGCGGAGTTCCTCGCTTTTGCTGTCGGTGGAGACGATGGGCGGAGGTAGGCCTTGGCGGCCTGCTCCACTAGCCTGTTCTTGATGGGAATCCTTGGAGAGGGGCTGGGATTCTTGAGAGATTGGTGCTGGGATTGCTGCTTCTTTACGCGGCTGGACATGAGATCGCTGAGGCTTGTGTAATCGAACGATCGCCTCCTACCACTGTTGTCGCCGCCATCGCCATGATCAAACAAGGCAATTTGATCGCTCGTGTCGCTCTTGGTGATCCTCAATCGCTGCGCTATTGGCATCTCCCCTCGATACTCCTCTATTCTCGCTCGTTCGCTCGCTCGCTCTCGCTCGATCCTGCCCTCTCGCCACTCCAGAGGCCCAGGCCCCAAATTTTTGGACCACCCTAAAATACTAAAGCCTTTTATTCCTGGCATGTTGGGGCATATTCCTCAAGGAATATGCCCACGTGGCATATCCCGTCCTTCCAGGCGCGCTCGTTTATCACGAGAAATGGGACGCGGAACTGAAATTATTTATTTTCACAGTCAAAACCAAGTGACTAGCCCGCCGTTTGACTTTTGCCAGCCGCAACGCAACTTGCTCGCCGCCATTGGCATTGGGGCGACCGGAGTTGACTGCCTGACCACCGGTACCGCTGGCGTGGACGCTGGCGTTCTTATTGCAGGACCATGGTAGTAGCTGCCGTGGCTGTGGCGTCACCTCCATAATTAGTGGTAGTAGTAGTAGTTATAGTCGTGTTGAGCTTCACTAAGATCATCCAATGCAAGAGCGTGTTGGTGGTGGTGTGGGTGGTCTTGAGCTTGAAGATTACCATCCTCGCAGTTCCTGTCACTATTAAATGGCAGCAGTGATCAGCACAAGGAGAAGAGCACGAGAATTAGGAATTGCCATTGATAGTGTCATTGAGCCCGATTTTATTTTCTTGTGGTTCTCTCCACTCTTCTTGAGAGTTTTTTTTTTTTCTTTTCCTGTGGTTCTCTCTTGTAACTTCTTTTTTATCTGTGGTTTTATTGAGAGTCCGAATGGCATAAATATTTGGACTACAATGGCGATGTAAAAACTTGCAACTTGACATAAAATGCTGGACAGCAAGATGCCATAAAGATAAACATTGCAACGCAGTTGATTTTATTCATTGTTTATTTCCCTATATACAACTCAGTACATGGCTTGACTTTTCGGAGTAACTTTCAATTGTCACCCTCGGCGTTGACTTTCGCGGCGGTGTCACCACCACTGGAGTTAACGTCGGCTCCACCAGCTTTGCCAGTTTCAGCGCTAGAACTATAGTGCGGGCAGTAACCATGGTGGCAGCGGTGGCGGTGGCGGTAGTAGTGGTGGGGATCGTCATCGTCGTGACGATTCTGAGCATGGATTTCGTCCCACTCCCGATCGTCGTCATCTCCATCGTGATCAGCATTCTTCTTGGCGGCCATCCTCGCACTTCCTTCCACGACCATTAGCATCGCGGCCGCGAGCAGCAGCGCGATGACAAGAGCGCGCGAGATCGCAGTAGCCATCGCCGAGAGAGCGATCAATCGATCGAGCAAACACTAGAGTGGAAACCAGGAACGCGAAAAAACGAAAGAGATCTAGATACCTTGCCTTGCAGTGCCTGCCTCGGCTTATATACGCGCTGCCAGATGCCACAGTTGAAACGTGTAAACCTTCCAACTTTGCCTTTTGAGTAACTTCTATACTCATCCCAAAAGCCCTCAATGGATTGCATCCATTTGTGCTCATCCCGAAAGCTTCTATTTTCCCTGTGTTGTTCACGTTATTACCCCAGCGAGTTGTAAAGAATGTGTTTTGTTACCTCGTGTGTGTAGTTCTCACACTTCTTCCTTCTTTTTCTTCTTCTTCTTGTCCCTCTTCTCTTTTTCCTTCTTGTCCCGTTCGATAGTAAACTTTGTCTTCCTTTGTCGCTTTTTACCCTGAGTTTATTCCCGTGCTCGTCAGATAGTTCCCAGGAATGTTCAAGGGAAAACTTACGCATGTCCAGTAGCAAAGGAAGCTCAAAAACGCAAACACGATGAATGCTATTTGGAAAACGTTGAATCTGCAACAGCCATACGAAGGCCGAGTTAATCGATCAAAACAAACAAGCCAGGAACTGAAACAAAGCAAGCCGTACATGAAGAGATACTTCAAACCTCTCAATGACTCAAGCGAGTGGCCAAATATTTCCTGAGCGGCAGTAGCTTCGGCGTACAATGAAAAGGCTTTCGTGCAGAATTGAATCACGCTGCAAACAGTTTTGAGCTTGCTAAAAACCATGTTAAAACTACGATACCTTGTTGAACATAGAAGGATAATGGCCACGTTGAAAAGAAACGAGTTCATGAGCGTGCCTTGGTACCTATAGTTTCATAATAAAAACCATTACATTCTAGAAAATGCATTTTTTAAAAAAATGCTTACTTCATTGGATGAATGGAAAGAAAAAGAAGCCTCATTCCCAGATGCATCTCTCCAGATATGACAGACATGACGAGGTAGTAGCAAAAAATTGCAAACGCGGTAGTTCCTAGCAAGCCTGAAAGGAAGGAAACTATTCAGGTCTAGAGATCGCATCAACAGAAAGTACCCCAGGCACTGTCAAGCTGAATAAAGACTTGGTTCAGAAACGGAAAAGCTGGAGGATTGACAAGCATGAAAACAATGATGTGGAGAAGCCAAATTATAGACAAAGCCAAACTGCAACAAGAGAAATAATAAGACTGAATCTTTTTCTCAAGACTTAAAAGGACTTTCTTACCCGACAATGCCAAAAACAAGCTTGGCTAGGTAGAAGAGAACCGTAAGAGCCCAGGATGTGTCTGCCTGAGAGAAAACCAGCAGTAGAATCAGCACAAAAACTTAGATGGTAAACTAGAACGGTACCTTCTCTCCCTGTGGGAATGCCTCGTTCAGAGCTTCAACATCATCTTCCAAAAAGACAAGCTCCTGAATCGAGCTACACATATGCGTTTGTCAACACGATCACGTCCACCATTTGCTTTTGTTTCTGTGCGCAGTGGTGCTGACCTGCTGGACTTTCTTCACATTTTTTCGAAACTTCCGTCCTTTCTTCCCACCTCTCTCTTCGCGTTGGAGGCCCAAAGTCGCCGCTTTTAGCTCGTTAGAGCGCTTGGCTAGATCAGTCGCCTCCTGCAAAGCCATCACCTTGAAGATATTAGTTGCAAGAAACGAGAACAAATCACACACACACACCTTTACGTATTGAGCACGAGTAATAACACACTTGGGCCTGTTTTTGAAAGCAAATATGAGGCTCAGTGGTAATGTTGCCATTCCAACACCGCCAAACATCTGCAGGAAGAAAATCACATCTTCTAGAAAATAGAACACAAACGACATTACCGTGAAGAGTATTGATCCTATTATTGTATTTAACGCGATCACGTAAGTCGGGAAGGGCGCACGCACAGACCACGTAGTTTTAACCAGAGATCCAGACGTATAAGCTGCACACTATTATAAAACATTGCCCAGATCAATGCAAAAAAACAAAAAAACAAAAAAACAAAAAAAAAAAAAACAAGGAGAAAAGCGCTAAGAACTTACCATGAGAGTAACATTCGAAGACAATGAGAAACCAGCCGGAAACAAGCACGGAGCCTTTGCATTGAGCGAGCTAAAATCATTGGTGAACGCCAACGTCGTGGATGAAAGACGTCTCACGGTGAAATCGGCATAGCCGATCACAGCTTCAAGCAATCACGTAGAAAAAGAGTTTAAGAACGAAAGATAGAAAAGAGCTTCTTACCATAGAGAATTCCAAGGAGGAGGCAAAAGACAGTGAGGAGTATCACCACCCACAAGAGAGCGTTCTTTATCCTTTGTGTCACAGTCCTGGAAATCACCAAGAACAAAGAAAGTTTTTGAGATCATGGAGGAATAGAAAGAACTTAAGAAACTCTAGGAGGAGCTCGGTCGATCGAGTGTTCTACAAAGAGATGGAAGATTACTTCTCCTGATCGCCCTCGTAGAAGAAGATCGCGAAGGGAATGACGAGATAGACAAGCACAGTGTCGATGATGTAAACCGCCCACCATAGCTGCTTCATCGGGAGAGTGAGCTTACACGCCCCGACGTAGAGATTCTTCTCGCAGGAATGGCGATTCGCGACGTCCGCCGGGAGCATCAGGATCGAGAGTTGAGCAATGCTAAGCCCAATCACGACGATGATCTTGGGAAGATATGCCTGATTCGAGTCATCCGGATGCTGGTACCTGATGAGAATGTAGATATTGATCGCGAAGACGAGCAGAGTGAGGAGCACCACGATCACCAGCAGCACTACATTGTACTCCATCCCGATCGGATCGATCGATAGCCCGGGTGAGCATTCCTGGGCGGTTTTCACCAGACCACACGCCCAAGAACCCTAATTTCAACGGCTGGGATTTGATCCAGCGTATTAGGGTTTTAGCTTTGGGTGGAGCGCGCGATGCCGGGGATCCGGCGCCTCGAGGAGCTGGAGAACGGGGAGCGAAATGCCGGTGGCGATGGGTCCTCCAGCTCCTCGGCCGCGGTAATCTACAGCGTACCGGGCGGATTGAGGGATCCAGGGCGATTGTGGGTGTCGTGGAGCAATGGGAACCAGCTCCAGCTCTCCTACATCGAGAATGCTGTGGGAGGCGGTGGAAGAGTCACGGAGATTCATCTGGGAGAAGGATGGGATGCCGAGAGGCGGCGACTGGCGTATGATTCTCTCCCGGCTTTTGCTCTTCTCCAGAACCAGCGGCAATTGGGCTACAACCCAGGCGACTGGTATGAAAAATTCTTCTCTTTTTTCTCTAGAAACGCTAGGTGTGATCGCAGGTGGGAGCATGTATTAGAGTATAGCAAGAGCATTCGCAGCGTTCTCGACCAGCCCATTCAAGGCAAGGTTAGCCATTGTATCATGCGTGAGAGGATGATGTGAAAGATTTATTTGATTTTTTTTTTTTTTCTTGCAGGAGGAGAAGACGTCGATGCTTAAGGCTGTGTGGGAGCTCATAGAAGTTTTCTATGTGGACAGAAGCGCGACATGGTGGCTTCCGGAACGTCTTGTAGACTGGCTAGCGGTAAGAAGCAGTGAGTTTTTTCTTGACTTATGATTGATTTGCCTGTGAGCTTTGCAGGAGTATGACAAAGTCCTCTTGAGTGATAAAGACACTGTACATTCCAAGGTAGTGTCGTTCCAGCGGAAGCTTTCCGAGATTCAAGTAAGTTCGAAGTCTTGCAGCTTTTTGTTTTCTCTTTGTGTATCAATTTTTAACTTGCACTTGCAGTTTCCCGAAGACGATGTAGCTTACTGGGATGCAATGGCCTCGGCCTTGTCAGTCGGATGGCTTGACGTTGTTGTAAGTTGTAAAACTGTGCGTGTAAGTTCCATTGGTAAATCTTAATCTTCCAGATAGCGTTCTTGCGGATGCATGGATCGTATCGATTGGATCAGCTTGATGACCGGCAGGTTTCTTTCTCCATGCTGTTTTGTTGACTTGGGTTAACTTCCGGATGCTTTTTTATGTCTTGGCAGACTGAAAATGGCCTCGTAGAAGCAGTTACACTGCTCATTATGCAAATGCCGCGGCTGCGCCCGAGGCTCCCTGATGGAAGTCCTGGTGTTGCTATAGGTTTTAAGCCTGACTTTTCTAAGGTTTGATGTTGTTGCAGCAAAGTTTTTAGTTTCTCAGATTTTATTACATGCAGGCGAGAGAAAAATGGCGAAGTCAGGTTTCCAAGCTTGAAAGTAGTGTGTTTTGGGCGGAATGCAACCACCGTGGGACGCTTCTTGGTCTTAAGAAGCTAATACAGGTGCTATTGGGAAACGTTGATGTTCTACAGCTCTCTACGTTTCACTGGATGGAGCTGCTGGTGGCGCATTTCCTACATCTGATACCTTTTTCTTTGGTATGTATGAACTGTGTAGTGTGCTAAGTTCACTTGCAATTATCGGGTGCAGGTCTTAGATGGAATGCGTAGCATAGCTTCCAAGTGCAAAGGATTGAAAAGTTCTGGGGACGAAGACCTTCAAGAACTTTTATCTGCAATTATCAGCAACGACACCGAGGTAAATGCTCGTCCCCGTCACAATGGAGTTTAATCTAGTACTATGCAGATACTCTTGGCGAATTGTTCGAAGGTTTTCAATGCCTGGTAAGAACTTCTCAATGTCGAATATTTATATAAATTTTCTATCAGGATGATGGCGCATGTTGATGATCTCCTGATAGCAAAAGGGGAGGACGTTCGATCTCTTCTTGAAGAAGACAGGCAAACTCTAGGCGGCTTGAGCTTGAAAGAACTCCATCGTTTGGTTTATTCTCAAGTACTGTCTTCGCACAGCTTAACCTGGCAGGTATATCGTTGATTTCTTTCTTCTTGATGTCTGTCTAACAATTATCTCAGCTAGCACCTGTTTACCTCGCGGCTTGCCCAAAGCAAGGCCTGGGAATGCTTGAAGCTCTCCTAATGAAGCAGAGTTGTTCCAATCAGAAACTGGCATTGAAGGTTGGTCTTGGTGTGACGTTTTCTTGAATCTTAATGTGAATTTTGTGCAACAGGCACTAGAGATATGCCGCCTCTATGAACTTGATACCGTCAGCACAGCCATCGCCAGGGTTTAGTATCCTCTTCCTTTCCAGGCTTGGGGTTCTCACCTGTGTTTTATGTCTTCCAGGCTGTTGGTGTTCATAGTTTAAAGCATGGAAAGAAGGGCCAAGGGATAATGTGGCTTCAATTGGCCCGAGACGAGCAGAGACTTTCTACTCTTGCGGATCAGATTTTGAACACAATAACGTCTGGTGAAGCTGATAGTCTGGATAATCTCGAGGTAGCAGTCTTACGTTTTATTTGATACACGCACACTTTTAACGCTCTTTTCCCGTGCCAGCATTTTGAGGGTCTCTGTGACATCCTTGGCTCGGGAGCAACGAAGCATCAAGGCCTGTCGTTCCTAGCAAGGTACTCACTTCATACAGTTGCGAAACTATCCGGAGCTCACTTCCAGCCTCACGCAGGTACAAAAGCTTTAAGGCAGCCCTGCAAAACATCAGAGATCTGCGTCGTAGAGAGGCTTCCTACACGGAAAACCTCGCTGCGCTTGGCAGAGCAGCGGTGACCTCTCTTCTCCAGGTTACCAATCCGTTCGGAACTTCTTCTTGCTCGCTAATACCCCGGCTTGCAGCTTCTAAAATCTGGAACCTTTCCACGTAAATTCTGGCTGTCCTTGCTCCAAGAATCGGTATGGAGCTGTTCTCACATCTCGTTTACACTCTAAACTTCCGATCGATCAGGTGGAGCTGCTGGAATGGCCGGAGCAAGTGCTGGTTAGCGAGTCCGAAACAAACACGCTACTCTGCTGCCTCCAGGAACTCTTCCTCGCCAGGGACCGGCTAGAGGACGACATCCTAAGCACTGCAGAGCCTGGCGCTGTGGATCGCCTGAGATTGGCGCTGGCATCCAACTTGGGCCGTGCCATCTTGCAAAGCTGATCGTTTCTACGAAGGTAGGATTTCTTCTTGACCTGTACAATTCAGAAGCGTGAGTCTAATTAAGCAAATAGTTTGACCGTAGAACTTCGCTAAAAGTCAATTTTTAGTCAACATAGTCTTCAGTCATTGGAAATGTTATCGTTGATTTTCATACTTGAACTCAGCAATTAATCTACGGCTACGTTGATTTGTTAGTCACCCTCAAAACCCAGCACTAATGTCAGGTTTTTAAAGCTTAAACTGTTTTTTAAGTTGAATAGTTTATCATGCCTTAAAAGCATATGAAATGATTATCTGATTTTTTTCAAAGTCATGGGTCAAAAGCTAAACTTAGGCACTAGGTCAGGATAATATGATAAAGAAAGAGCCTTAAACACCCTTTTAGTCAGTTGGTTTTAAGGTGTAACAGATAAGATCCTATTGTTAACAAGTGGGGCAAAAATATTTTGAAAGAATACTTAACATAATGGATCTAAAAGGAAAACCAAAGTTTAATAAACACTAAAAAAGGACCATGGTAACTAAAGGGTAACTTAATTATGATTGCAATTTATTTCCTGATGAGGGGAAAATTGTTAAGCACCAGGTCAGGATAATAGGATAAAAAAACATTGTTACATAACAGGTCAAGATAATAGGATAAAGAAGAAACCTTACAATCAAATGATTACCCCTTTAACCAGTTAACTTAAAGTGTAAAAAATAGGATCATAACATGCTAGGATTGAAAAACAAATGCCCGCAACACCTCCCTATCCTGCCTTCAAAGTCAGGCTCCCAATCTAGGAACTCTCCCCTGATCAGTGTGTGATTTCACCCATTTCCTTCACAAAGGTTTTTAAAGTTTAAACTTTTTTAAAGCTGAATGAACTCTCCTGAGACGATGCTGTGAAAGTTGACTTAGTGGACCCGTGGTTTTCCACAAGCACTGGTTCCTTTGCGACGCAATGCGGAAGTCGTCTACGCATTTGGCAAGGAGAGGACGCTGCAATCTACCCAAAGCAATGTACGGCAGTTTATCATGCCCTAAAAGCATATGCGTACCTGATTTTCTTGGGTCAAGCTATATTGGGACTACTGCACCGAAGGAGGCTTGGCGTTTTCTGTTTGGTGTAAATGCGTTTCCTGCACCGAACTCGTTTTCTGCACTAAACTAATCTTTCAGAACGCTCAATCCACCTAATCACCTTTTGTTTTTTAACCGGGTATGCATTTTTGGAGGTATATGTATGACGAAGTCATGCAGCACGTCAAGCTATACTTTCATTTTGGTTAACCATGTTTTCTGCACTAAACTAACTCATTTAGCCCATTATAAAAATGGAGTCTTCTTCTGGTGTACATACCTCTTCTGAAGGTGAATTGCAATGGCAACCATGGCGACAATGCTCGCCTTCGGTTCATTGAAGGAGATTGGTGACATTGTGGCGAATTTTGATTTCAGCAAGGTAAAGTGGAACCTGTCTTGCCCAAAGCAGTGCTTAACTCCTTGTGGAATGCTCCAGATTGATGTGCGTTCCAAGAGTTCCGAGGATTACCTCCACACCAACCTGGCACCATCGTTTGGGGCATTGAATGCAGAAACAGTGAAGAAGATGGATGAGGTTCTCAAGGTTTGCATCTCGGGAACCACCACTCTCCTCGCCAAAGTGCCACCAGAAGAGCGAACTTGGGAGAAGGTCAACTCCATGTTCATGCAAAATCCCCTGGTTGAGCCAATGGGCGATGGGGTTAGCAGAGCTGACAAGTTTCTCAACAAAAGCTCTAGCGATTTCAAGTTTGACGGGTCACCGGACCCAGCTACTGTGAAAGCGGTAATAGAAGTTATGTATTATGGAAGAGCTCTATTAACCTTTGCGGCCTTCTCTCGTCACAGGTTCAGGTTTGGTTTGTGAATCTCATCGCAGATGAGGACGTCTTGAAATCAACCAAGATCGACACTAAAGTTCTTGGGGAAATTGTTGCTCAGTCAGGGGCGACCATTACCAGCTTTGAAAATTTCTTTGCCAAGCATGAGCACCAATGAGAAGACCATAATTGACATCGGGGTCTTAAGGTACCCTGACATGCAAAACCCGTACTTCAAGGTTTGTGCCCAGGCTGCCCTTCGTATTTCAGTCACAGCTCATGCTTATGAGTACAGGTGTACCGCATCAAACTCTTTGCTTGGTCTGATAGCAACCGTATTGTGTTCCATCAGGAGGATTCCAATGGCATCATTGGAGGTGAGGTGTCTAATGTAAACCACTGAAGACTGCACGCTCCTTTTGTTCTATTTGCAGAGTTCACCTTCCGTAAGTTTAAGCCACGCAAGGAGGTCATTGACAAGATGAACCCAGACGCCAAAAAGAAGGCTGTAGAGGCTGCAGATAACACCTTTGGTTTCTAATATCCAGACTGTGTCAATTGAGCCAAGATGTCCCCTGCTTCAAGCTAAAACACCTTTCTAAATAATAATCAAATCATAGCCCCTCGTGACCTTCATTTACTTGAAAATAACAGCTATCTATTGTCTTGATATTTTTTAATCTCAATTTCTGAAAAGAGACAATCAGGGAAACAAAGACTTTATATACAAACTACAATAAAATTAATAAATATCTAAAAGCTAGATGCTTTGGATTCCAAGTACTTTTGTCAATGTAGCAAATTTTTGCCTTCCACTGGAACATTGAAAGGTGATGATAAATTTATCTATATACTGTTTATAGTCTTGTGGTGCCCATCAAGAAGCATAAGTATTCTCTGTGATATATTAATAAAACGAAACAGGACAGTTTGCCATGTGGAGATCATTATCATTGTCTAATTGGTCTTTGTAGATTCTTCGCGCTCAAGGTTACCACAAGTCACGCTCAATCAGCTCTAAGCCGAGTTGATGGCTTAGTCGTGCGGCTCTGAGTGCCATTTGGCTTTCCATCTTGCTGGATTTTCCCATCCTGTCGCTTTGATGCAAACGACCCCAGGAACACTGTCGCAATAATATTGTAGGGCAACAAGGTTTCTCAGACAAGGGAATATCTAAATGGATTTTGACAAGGAACAGAACTTCGAAAATAGAAATTTAGAGAATGCTACTGGAGCCAGTGCTGATGGAACAAGGCAAAGGGAGGCCCTCAAAACCGTCAAGCTTTTCCTCCTGTAACTCACGAACTTTGTCACGAGCACATTGTAAGTTTTCTTTGGCAAATGCTTACGTACTGATCAGTAGGCGTGACATCTCCTGCTATAGGGTCGAGTTTTTAGGATCCTAGAAATCTACTCCGGGACAAGACGATCAAGACGTTAATACAGTTGTAAATTTTTTAAATTAATAAGCTGCGAATCTTTCCAAAACAGCAACTTCACTTTGGTCTTTTCTTAGTTTCTTGTCCAGCTGAGAACAGAGGTTTGTCTAGCTCAAGCATGAGTTTCTAAATGAATACGTCCTGCGTTCTGACATGGTTGAATTATCCTTGCTCATATTTACGACCAGTCTAAAGCTTAAACATTAAGCAAATAGTTTGACCATGACCTTTTTAAAAGTGTCACATTGAAAATGTTGATTGCATAATCAACGGCTACTTTGATTTTCTTCCTCTCGCAGCAAGGTGGTCCCTTCGTACTCGGTGCTCACTCCCTCCTCGCCTGCCAAATACCTCCCAATCTCAAGGCTGGTGCCAAACTCGTTGCGGGAGAACACAATACCAGCTTTCCATGCTAGGCAGGAGCATTCACTTCCACTAGCCACGCCTTCTGAAGATCAATCCAAGCCAAGCCTCGCCATAACTCATTGCAGTGGAGTAGAAGATGGACACTAGATTGAGAATGAGAATGATAAAAGTCACAAATGATCCATGTGCTATGAAAAGGAAACATTACAAATGAGGAAGAAATATCAGAAATAAAAAAAGGTGGTTCAAATCAAAAAATAAATAAATAATTCAAAAAGAACAAAAGGTAAAAATAAAAGGATCAAATAAGAAATTAAAGGATTAACACTTATCTCGCAAAATCTCAAAACAATCTAGAATTCACTCAAGCTCATACTTATAAATTAGATCCTTGAACATTTGCCAAAAACTAGATTACATCATCTATAATTCACCAATTGATGTCACAATCATGTTTCATATCAACAAAAGATGGCATAATACCGAGAACAGAACAAATTATATAATCACCTATAAAATTTTGAGATAGCAACACACCAAGAACACCAATATAATTATACCCCATAGCATTAAAGGTTTGATCCAATGGAGTAACATTAACAATCTCAAATAACATATTCCTTGATTGATGATGACATGGCATAGTAGAAGAAGAAAAAAATTCAATAAAAATAAAAAGAAAGAGTAAATCTAAGCACAACTACAATTAGAGTTTTAGATCTTGCAAAAAGCTAATAAAAATCTAGATTTAAAAAAGAATGAAAAAATAAAAACAAAGAACAATATCCTAAACACTAGATCAAATGCATCTTGAATACTAGATTACAAAAAAAAGTTGCCTTTCCTCACCTTTACCAATGTGAGTGTTCAAAATATATGAATAGGTATATGAATTATATACAAAAATGGATGGACTAATTTAGTCCTAAATGGATGGTATAGTATTATAATTAATGTATTACCTAGCATATATATGCATACATATATTTACAAACTTTACAATTGTAAATTAACATAAATAACAACAAAATAATAACATAAAAAATAACAACAATACATGTATAGTGAACATAAGTTTAAGCCTCCAGGTGCACACTCATGTCCCAGGAAATGTTAGACTCTTTCTTCCTGAGCTTGAGAATGGCCAGGATTTGGATACCTCTGAGCATTGGAAACAGCGACACTCCACCACTACCATCAAAAGCCCTTGAAACACTGTTCGATACTTTAGGTTCGAGACAGGAGTAGAGCAAAACGGGGATAGCTCTGTTTGTGAAAATGGTAAAAGCTTTTTGCATTTTCATCTTCCTGTTAAGTAGAGCGCTCGCTTAGCATGAAATCTTTTCGCCTTCGTGGACTTCGCGATTCCAAGAATAGAAACTGGTCAATAAATAAATGACAATCCGAAAGGCACAAGTGTGCCTATCCCATCGCTAGCAGAAAATCTCGTCCACCAAAACCTCCACTCAGATCTCGCTGCTCACCACCAGCGTCATCTTTCCTCCTGCACATGCGAGACCCTCAACGTTTAAGTGTTTGAGTGGCGACTTTCCAACATTCCATTGTTCCAAGGCAATGCGAGGTGGATGGAAACCAACACCATTGCCTGCCGTGAACAGAAACTCCGGCAGCGTAAACGAGGCCCGCGCGTTGGGAAGTATAAAACTGGATGTTTGGTAAGAGCACACGAAAAAGCACTTTGAGCAAAAAAATATTTAAGCCCACTGTTTATAAGCAGGTTTTCAGTTGGAATTTCCAGATCTGGAGGCTTCGTTTGTGATGGCGATGGTTTCTGGTAGATTATGTGCTCGCATCTCCGAAATGCGTAGGCCGGGCTCAAGTCCACTCTCGTTGTGCACTGCCAGCGATCTTTTCCCTTCCTCCCCGTCTCTAGAAGAACAAGAGCCCAATCTCTCTCTCAATCCCGCCGCGTGCTCAGGCTCGACAAATTCGCTCTGTGGATCGTGCAAACGAAGCTCAGCGATGTCTACTCGCACCAGAGGAGCCGGTCAAATGTCGGCGATCGTGTCGAAAGCACGTAGCTGGAATCTCTGAAAAAAGTCAAGAGCAATCCAAGGTGACCACACTCTCAAGCTTCTAACTCAAGCTTTCTTCATCGATTTCGCGCTGTCCTTGATGGCAGGAGATCCCTGTCTGGTCAGGTGGATTCTCCAGATGTGCGACCTCTGCGCCTCGCAAGCGGTGACCACGGACAAAGTCACTCGCATTTTCAATGCTCTCCATTTTCAAGCAAAAGGTCTTCTTCATGCATCGGGCATCGGGCTGTGATGCTTGTATTTGGAGCATTTCTGCTCATCAGAAGCGGTGGATGTCGCACAGGAGGTTCGCACGGATCCAAGGCATTCTTCGTGGGACGAGTGCCAAAAGAGTAAGTGGACAGTGTGCGGTGTTGGGAGATTGCTATCAGCGCTGGTGCGTTTGGAAACAACCCGTACGAGATCTTGGTTTCGCTTCACAACTTCACCTGGTTGGAGCTTGGACGAGACCATCAATTTGCAAGCGCTACGTTCCTCAAGAAAAATCTCTACGAGTATATGGATAAGCTGCATTCTTTTACTCAAGAAAGGATGAAATGTGTACTGATTGCTCCAAGAGCTTAAAGAGACCTTAAAAGACAGCTAATTGGAGCATCCAATTTGCAAGTTTTATCCGTGGAGGTGTCGCTGAAATCGATCGCGATCGCTGGAAGCGCAGAGAAGAGATCGATCGTCAAGAGATCAATTCACATTGTGGCCAGTCATCCGCAAGAACAGGGTTTTCACGTCAATTCACGCATTTGCCCAGGAAGGGCATCTTTCGGAGAAAGGAATCGGATAGACCCAGAATGGGCTTATTCGGGCAAACGTCCACGTGTAAACATGGATGAAAAGAAAACGAGTTCATGAGCGTGCCTTGGTACCTATAGTTTCATAGAAAAACATTTTTAAAAAAAAGTGTTTACTTCATTGGATGAATGGAAAGAAACAGAAGCCTCATTCCCAGATGCATCTCTCCAGATATGACAGACATGACGAGGTAGTAGCAAAAAATTGCAAAGGCGGTAGTTCCTAGCAAGCCTGAAAGCAAGGAAACGATTCAGGTCTAGAGATCGCATCGACAGAAAGTACCCCCGGCACTGTCAAGCTGAATAAAGACTTGGTTCAGAAACGGAAAAGCTGGAGGATTGACAAGCATGAAAACAAGGATGTGGAGAAGCCAAATTATAGACAAAGCCAATCTGCAACAAGAAAAACAAAAGAAGAAGTGAATATCTTTGTCAAGCCTTCCGAGTCTATTTCTTACCCGAGAATGCCAAAAACAAGCTTGGCTAAGTAGAAAAGAACTGTAAGAGCCCAGGATGTGTCTTCCTGAGAGAAAATCCAGCAATGAAATAACTTAAATGGGAAACTAGAGATACCTTCTCTCCCTGTGGGAATGCCTCGTTCAGAGCTTGAACATCATCTTCCAAAAAGACAAGCTGTACAATGTAAGAACTTCGCTAAAAGTCAATATTTACTCAACATAGTCTTCAGTCATTGAAAATGTTAGCTTTTCATTGATTTTCATACTTCGATACACATGTACGGCTACGTTGATTTGTTAGTCACCCTCAAAACCCAGCACTACTGCAGCAGCGTCGTCCCTTCGTACTCTGCTGGGATCGGAAAAACAGATGCCCGCAACGCCTCCCTAGTCTCGGGCACCCAAAGCATCTCACGCCTGCCTTGGATGGATACAAGTCGGGCTCCCAATCTCAGACAAGCCCAATCAAGCTTTTGCTACTCTCCGACGTTCGCGGCCACCATCAATTCTCCAAGGGGTTTTTAAAGCTTAAACTTTCTTAAAGTTGAATGAACTCTCTGAGACGATGTGAAAGTTGACTTAGTGGACCTGTGGTTTTCCACAAGCACTGGTTCCTTTGCGACGCGATGCGGTTCCAGCGACCGGCTGGGGCAAAGTCGTCTACGCGAGGAGAGGAGAGCAGTTTATCATGCCCTAAAAGCATATGCGTAAAGAATATGAAACGATTATCTGATTTTTTTCAAAGTCATGGTCAAGCTAGACTACTGCACCGAAGGAGGCTTGGCGTTTTCTGTTTGGTGTAAATGCGTTTCCTGCACCGAAATCGCTTTCTGCACTAAACTAATCTTTCAGAACGCTGAATGCACCTAATCAGCTTTTGTTTTTTAACCGTATATGTATGACGAAGTCATGCAGCACGTGATGAGTAAAGCTACTTTCATTTTTGTTAACCATGTTTTCTGCACTAAACTAACTCATTTACCCCATTATAAAAATGGAGTATGGAGTAAGGAGTATGTACATACCTCTTCTGAAGGTGAATTGCAATGGCAACCATGGTGACAATGCTGGGAGCCTTCGGTTCATTGAAGGAGATTGGTGACATTGTGGCGAATTTTGATTTCAGCAAGGTAAAGTGGAACCTGTATTGCCCAAAGCAGTGCTTAACTCCTTGTGGAATGCTCCAGATTGATGTGCGTTCCAAGAGTTCCGAGGATTACCTCCACACCAACCTGGCACCATCGTTTGGGGCATTGAATGCAGAAACAGTAAAGAAGATGGATGAGGTTCTCAAGGTTTGCATCTCGGGAACCACCACTCTTCTCGCCAAAGTGCCACCAGAAGAGCGAACTTGGGAGAAGGTCAACTCCATGTTCATGCAAAATCCCCTGGTTGAGCCAATGGGCGATGGGATTAGCAGAGCTGACAAGTTTCTCAACAAAAGCTCTAGCGATTTCAAGATTGACGGGTCACCTGATGCAGCTATTGTGAAAGCGGTAATAGAAGTTATGTATTATAGAAGAGCTCTATTAACCTTTGCGGCCTTCTCTCGTCACAGGTTCAGACCTGGTTTGTGAATCTCATTGCAGATGAGGACGTCCTGAAATCAACCAAGATCGACATTGAAGTTCTTGGGCGCATTGTTGCTCAGTCAGGGGCGACCATTACCAGCTTTGAAAATTTCTTTGCCAAGCATGAGCACCACGAGAAGACCATAATTGACATCGGGGTCTTAAGGTACCCTGATATGCAAAACCCGTACTTCAAGGTTTGTGCCCAGGCTGCCTTTTGTATTTCAGTCACAGCTCATGCTTATTATGAGTACAGGTGTACCGCATCAAACTCTTTGCTTGGTCTGATAGCAACCGTATTGTGTTCCATCAGGAGGATTCCAATGGCATCATTGGAGGTGAGGTGTCTAATGTAAACCACTGAAGACTGCACGCTCCTTTTGTTCTATTTGCAGAGTTCACCTTCCGTAAGTTTAAGCCGCGCAAGGAGGTCATTGACAAGATGAACCCAGACGCCAAAAGGAAGGCCGTGGAAGCTGCAGATAACATCTTTGGTTTCTAATATCTAAATTGAGCCAAGATGCCTCTAAAGCTACAACATCTTTCTAAATACATGACCTACTTGAAAATAACAGCTGTCTATTGTCTTGATATTTTTTAATCTCAATTTCAAAAAAAAAGGAACGACAAACTACAATAAAAGTAATAGATATCTAAAACCTAGATGCTTTGGATTCCAAGTACTTTTGTCAATGACTGGAACATTGAAAGGTGATGATAAGTTTATCTATATACTGTTTATAGTCTAGTGGTAGTCTTACGTATTATTAATAAAACGAAACAGAACAGTATGCCATGTGGAGATCATTATCATTGGATTTTGACAAGGAACAGAATTTCGTAGAGAATGCTACTGGGCGTTTTTATTGTAAACGGCTTGGCACAGCGCAGCCAGTGCTGATGGAACAAGGCAAAGGCAGGCCCTCAAAACCGTCAAGCTTTACCTCCTTCTGTCACTCACGAACTTTGTCGCGAGCACATTATAAGTTTTCTTTGGCAAATGCTTACATACTGATCAGTAGGCGTGACATCTCCTGCTATAGGGTCAAGTTTTTAGGATCCTAGAAATCTACTCCGGGACAAGACGATCAAGACGTTAATACAGTTGTAAATTTTTTAAATTAATAAGCTAAATGCGCGAATCTTTCCAAAACAGCAACGTCACTTTGGTCTTTTCTTAGTTTCTTGTCCAGCTGAGAACATAGGTTTGTCTACAAGCATGAGTTTCTAAATGAATAGTCCAGCCTTCTGATGTCCTTGCTCATATTTACATTAAGCAAATAGTTTGACCATGACCTTCTTAAAAGTTAAAAGGCTTTTAGTTGGAATAAGAATATGCCATAGAAGAAAAATTAGGGCGCGGGGACGAGGAGGATGAGCGATCCCGGGGCGTCGGGCTACGTCGTGCTGCTGCGGCGATGCATCGCGGGCAGGGATCTAGAGGGCGGCCGGCGGTTGCACGCGCAGATCGTCCGCTCGGGCTGGCACACCGATCTCTTCGTCGCCAATCTCCTCATCCAGATGTATGGCGCCTGCCGCTCCATCGCCAGCGCATGGTCGTCTTCCGCGAGCTCCGCGTCCGCAACCTCTTCACCATCAACATCACCATCGCCGCGCTTGCCCAGAACGGCTGCTTCCGCGACGCGCGATCCCTGTTCGTGGAATTCCCCCGCCGAGACGTCGTCACCTGGAACTCGATGCTCACTATCGCCGCGCACCGCCTCCGGATCGGCGAGGCGCGGGAGGTCTTCGCGCGGATGCCTGCCCGGAGCGTCGTCTCTGCAAACGCGATGATCGCAGCATTTGCCCAATGCGGGCAAATTGGCGAAGCCCAGGAGTTCTTCCGCGACGCCATAGCCGAGAGGGACGTCTCGAGCTGGAAAAATCTCCTCCACGCCAGCGTCTCCTCCAGCGAGGTCGATCTCGCGCGGTCGGTCTTCGATGCTATGCCGCACTGGGATTGTGTCGTGTGGTTGAGCATGATCCAGGGCTACGCCGAGCGCTGATGCGCAACGCCGAGGAGCTATTCCTCGCGCTGGATCATCCGGATCTCATGTCCATCACGTCCATGATCACGGGCTATGGATCCGTGGGGAAGATCAACCAGGCGAGGGAGCTCTTCTCGCGGATGAAGCACTGGAACACCGTTGCCTGGAACGTGATGATCCAGGCGCTCGCCGAGAATGGCCGAATCGAGGAGGCGCGGCAGGCATTCAATTCGATGACGGCGCCGAGGAATCTCTCGTCCTGGAACACGATCATCTCGGCCTACGCACAGGCGGGACTGGTGGATCGCGCGAGGGAGCTCTTCGATCAAACCCTGGACAAGAACGTGGTGACCTGGGCGGCGGTGATGCACGCGGCAGCTCCGCGAGGCGCGATCGATCCTCGACGCCATGCCGGAGCCAAACATCGTGTCGTGGACGACGATGATCACGGCCTTACGCGCAGCACGGCGCCGGCGCCGACGCGATCCAGCTCTTCCGGATCATGGATCTTGAGACGATCATGAGCGTGCTTTTCGCGGCCACGGCGATCCAAGATCCATCGCTGGCGCACCACATCCTACCCGATATCCGCCACAGCGCCTCTACCACGAGGGCGCGGTGGGGAATTCCCTCGTCCATCTCTTCAGCCGATCGGGGCGGCTGGACGACGCGTGCGAGATCTTCCAGGGGATGATCGACAGAGCACGGTTTCTTGGAATATCGCCATCACGGCCACGGCCAAGGCCGGCACGGCCGATCGGCGCTCCAGCTGCTGGAATCCATGGCGCTCGACGGTTGCGCGCCCGACGCGATCACATTCTCGTGCCACATTGGATCGAGTTCATGAGCGTGCCTTGGTACCTATAGTTTCATAATAAAAACCATTACATTCTAGAAAATGCATATAAAAAAAAGTGCTTACTTCATTGGATGAATGGAAAGAAACAAAAGCCTCATTCCCAGATGCATCTCTCCAGATATGCCAGACATGACGAGATAGTAGCAAAAGATTGCAAACGCAGTGGTTCCTAGCAAGCCTGAAAGGAAGGAAACTATTCAGGTCTAGAGATCGCATTGACAGAAAGTACCCCCGGCACTGTCAAGCTGAATAAAGACTTGATTCAGAAACGGAAAAGCTGGAGGATTGACAAGCATGAAAACAATGATGTGGAGAAGCCAAATTATAGACAAAGCCAAACTGCAACAAGAGAAATAATAAGACTGAATCTTTTTCTTAAGACTTGAAGGACTTTCTTACCCGACAATGCCAAAAACAAGCTTGGCTAGCTAGAAGAGCCCAGGACGTGTCTGCCTGAGAGAAAACCAGCAGTAGAATCAGCACAAAAACTTAATGGTAAACTAGAACGGTACCTTCTGTCCCTGTGGGAATGCCTCGTTCAAAGCTTCAACATCATCTTCCAAAAAGAAAAGCTCCTGAATCGAGCTACACTGGACTTTCTTCACATTTTTTCGAAACATCCGTCCTTTCTTCTCACCTCTCTCTTCGCGTTGGAGGCCCAAAGTCGCCGTTTTTAGCTCGTTAGAGCGCTTGGCTAGATCAGTCGCCTCCTGTAAAGCCATCACCTTGAAGATATTAGTTGCAAGAAACGAGAACAAATCACACACACACCTTTACGTATTGAGCACGAGTAATAACACACTTGGGCCTATTCTTGAACGCAAATATGAGGCTCACTGGTAATGTTGCCATTCCAACACCTCCAAACATCTGCAGGAAGGAAATCAGATCTTCTAGAAAACAACACATAAAACGACATTACTGTGAAGAGTATTGATCCTATTATTGTGTTTAATGCGATCACGTAAGTCGGGAAGGGCGCACGCACAGACCACGTAGTTTTAACCAGAGATCCAGACGTATAAGCTGCACACTGTCACACAATATTGCCACATGAATGAAGAAAGGGAAAATGTAGAAGAAAAGGCTTACCATGAGAGTAACATTAGAAGACAATGAGAAACTAGCCGAAAACAAGCACGGAACCTTTGCATTGAGCGAGCTAAAATCATTGGTGAACGCCAACGTCGTGGATGAAAGACGTCTCACGGTGAAATCAGCATAGCCGATAACAGCTTCAAGCAATCACGTAGAAAAAGGGTTTAAGAACAAAAGATGGAAAACAGCTTCTTACCATAGAGAATTCCCAAGAGGAGGCAGAGGACTGTGAGGAGTATCACCACCCACAAGAGAGCGTTCTTTACCCTTTGTGTCACAGTCCTGGAAATCACCACGAACAAAGAAAGCTTTTGAGATCATGGAGGAATAGAAAGAACTTAAGAAACTCTAGGAGGAGCTCGGTCGATCGAGTGTTCTAAGAACAAGAACAAAAAGATGGAAGATTACTTCTCCTGGTCGCTCTCGTAGAAGAAGATCGCGAAAGGAATGACGAGCACAGTGTCGATGATGTAAACCGCCCACCACAGCTGCTTCATCGGGAGAGTGAGCTTACACGCCCCGACGTAGAGATTCTTCTCGCAGGAATGGCGATTCGCGACGTCCGCCGGGAGCATCAGGATCGAGAGTTGGGCAATGCTGAGCCCAATCACGACGATGATCTTGGGAAGATAGGCCTGATTCTGGAGCGCGTGATGCCGGGGATCCGGCGTCTCGAGGAGCTGGAGAACGGGGAGCGTAATGCCGGTGGCGATGGATCCTCAGCTCCTCGGCCGCGGTAATCTATAGCGTGGGTGTCGTGGAGCAATGGGAACCAGCTCCAGCTCTCCTACATCGAGAATGCTGTGGGAGGCGGTGGAAGAGTCACGGAGATTCATCTGGGAGAAGGATGGGATGCCGAGAGGCGGCATGATTCTCTCCCGGCTTTTGCTCTTCTCCAGAACCACCGGCAATTGGGCTACAACCCATGGTATGAAAAATTCTTCTCTTTTTACTCTAGAAACGCTAGGTGTGATCGCAGGTGGGAGCATGTATTAGAGTATAGCAAGAGCATTCACAGCGTTCTCGACCAGCCCACGCAAGGCAAGGTTAGCCATTGTATCATGCGTGAGCGAATGATGTGAAAGATTTTTTTTGTTTTTTTCTTGCAGGAGGAGAAGACCTCGATGCTTAAGGCTGTGTGGGAGCTCATAGAAGTTTTCTATGTGGACAGAAGCGCGACATGGTGGCTTCCGGAGTGTCTTGTAGACTGGCTAGCGGTAAGAAGCAGTGAGTTTTTTCTTGACTTATGATTGATTTGCCTGTGAGCTTTGCAGGAGCATGACGAAGTCCTCTTCAGTGATGAAGACACTGTACATTCCAAGGTGGTGTCGTTCCAGCGGAAGCTTTCCGAGATTCAAGTAAGTTCGAAGTCTTGCAGCTTTTTGTTTTCTCTTTGTGTATCATTTTTTAACGTGCACTTGCAGTTTCCCGAAGACGATGTAGCTTTCTGGGATGCAATGGCTTCGGCGTTGTCAGTCGGATGGCTTGACGTTGTTGGAAGTTGTAAAAGTGTCCGTGTAAGTTCCATTGGTAATCTTAATCTTCCAGATAGCGTTCTTGCGGATGCATGGATCGTATCGATTGGATCAGCTTGATGACCGGCAGGTTTCTTTCTCCATGCTGTTCTGTTGACTTGCGTTAACTTCCGGATGCTTTTTTATGTCTTGGCAGACTGAAAATGGCCTCGTAGAAGCAGTTACACTGCTCATTATGCAAATGCCGCGGCTGCGCCCGAGGCTCCCTGATGGAAGTCCTGGTGTTGCTATAGGTTTTAAGCCTGACTTTTCTAAGGTTTGATTTGGTTGCAGCAAGTTTCTCAGATTTGATTACATGCAGGCCGAGGGAAAAATTGGCGAAGTCAGGTTTCCAAGCTTGAAAATAGTGTGTTTTGGGCGGAATGCAACCACCGTGGGACGCTTCTTGGTCTTAAGAAGCTAATACAGGTGCTATTGGGAAACGTTGATGTTCTACAGCTCTCTACGTTTCACTGGATGGAGCTGCTGGTGGCGCATTTCCTACATCTGATACCTTTTTCTTTGGTATGTATGAACTGTGTAGTGTGCTAAGTTCACTTGCAATTATCGGGTGCAGGTCTTAGATGGAATGCGTAGCATAGCTTCCAAGTGCAAAGGATTGAAAAGTTCTGGGGATGAAGACCTTCAAGAACTTTTATCTGCAATTATCAGCAACGACACCGAGGTAAATGCTCTTCCCCGTCACAGTGGTAAGAACTTCTCATGTCGAATATTTATATAAATTTTCTATCAGGATGATGGCGCATGTTGATGATCTCCTGATAGCAAAAGGGGAGGACGTTCGATCTCTTCTTGAAGAAGACCTTGACAGAACTCCATCGTTTGGTTTATTCTCAAGTACTGTCTTCACACAGCTTAACCTGGCAGGTATGTCTTTGATTTCTTTCTTCTTGATGTCTAAACCGGCTAGAGAACGACATCCTAAGCACCGCAGAGCCTGGCGCTGTGGATCGCCTGAGATTGGCACTGGCATCCACCTTGGGCCGTGCCATCTTGCAAAGCTGATCGTTTCTTCGTTGTCAGACAAAGGTAGGATTTCTTCTTGAACTGTACAATTCAGAAGCGTGAGTCTAATAGTTTGACCGTAGAACTTCGCTAAAAGTCAATATTTAGTCAACATAGTCTTCTGTCATTGAAAATGTTAGCTTTTCATTGATTTTCATACTTGAACTCAGCAATTAATCTATACATGTACGGCTACGTTGATTTGTTAGGCACCCTCAGAACCAAGCACTGCTACACCAGCGTCGTCCCTTCGTACTCTGCAGATGCCCGCAACGCCTCCCTAGTCTCAGGCACCCGAAGCATCTCACGCCTGCCTTGGATGGATATAAGTCGGGCTCCCAATCTCAGACATGCCCAATCAAGCTTTTGCTACTCTTGCAAAAGGCCCCAGACCAGCGCATGAAACGAGTGTGTGATTTCATCACGGCCCATTTCATTTCACCACTCTCCGAGACGATGCTGTGAAACTTGACTTAGTGGACCTGTGGTTTTCCACAAGCGCTGGTTCCTTTGCGACGCGATGTGGTTCCAGCGACCGGCTGGGGCAAAGCCGTCTACGCATTTGGCGAGGAGAGGAAGAATCCAAACAAGTTAAATGCTGCAGTTTATCATGCCCTAAAAGCATATGCATAAAGAATATGAAACAATACCTGATTTTTGGCGTTGGGTCAAGCTAGACTACTGCAACGAAGGAGGCTTGGCGTTTTGCACCAAACGCGTTTGGTGTAGATGCGTTTCCTGCACCGAACTCTTTTTCTGCACTAAACAAGTCGTACTCTTTTCCTAGGTAGCATTTAAGAAGGAGGTGTGTTAATAGGATCGCATCGCTCACGCTCGCGATCGCGATCCATTGCGAAAAAACGCTCAATCCAAATCACCTTTTGTTTTTTAACCGGGTATACCTGCATGTTTTTGGAGGTATATGTATGACAAAGTCATGCAGCACGTGCTGCAATGAGTCAAGCTATACTTCATTTTGGTATAAACATCTTTTCTGCACTAAACTAACTCATTTACCCCATTATAAAAATTGAGTGTACATACCTCTTCTGGTGTACATACTTCTTCTGAAGGTGAATTGCAATGGCAACCATGGCGACAATGCTGGGAGCCTTCGGTTCATTGAAGGAGATTGGTGACATTGTGGCGAATTTTGATTTCAGCAAGGTAAAGTGGAACCTGTATTGCCCAAAGCAGTGCTTAACTCCTTGTGGAATGCTCCAGATTGATGTGCGTTCCAAGAGTGCTGAGGACTACCTCCAAACCAACCTGACACCATCGTTTGGGGGATTGAATGCAGAAACAGTGAAGAAGATGGATGAGGTTCTCAAAGTTTGCATCTCGGGAACCACAACCCTTCTTGCCAAAGTGCCACCGAAAGAGCGAACTTGGGAGAAGGTCAACTCCATGTTCATGCAAAATCCCCTGGTTGAGCCAATGGGCGATGGGATTAGCAGAGCTGACAAGTTTATCAACAAAAGCTCTGACGATTTCAAGTTTGACGGGTCACCGGATGCAGCTATTGTGAAAGCGGTAATAGAAGTTATGTATTATATAAGAGCTCTATTAACCGTTGCGGCCTTCTCTCGTCACAGGTTCAGACCTGGTTTGTGAATCTCATTGCAGATGAGGACGTCCTGAAATCAACCAAGATCGACATTGAAGTTCTTGGGCGCATTGTTGCTCAGTCAGGGGCGACCATTAACAGCTTTAAAACCTTCTTAGCCAAGAATGAGCACCACGAGAAGACCATAATTGACATCAGGGTCTTAATGTACCCTGATATGCAAAACCCGTACTTCAAGGTTTGTATTTCTTCAGCCTTGCCCAGGCTGCCCTTTGTATTTCAGTCACAGCTCATGTTTTTCAGTACAGGTGTACCGCATCAAACTCTTTGCTTGGTCCGATAGCAACCGTATTCTGTACCATCAGGAGGATTCCAATGGCATCACTGGAGGTGAGGTGTCTAATGTAAACCACTGAAAATTGCACGGTCATTTTGTTCTATTTGCAGAGTTCACATTCCGTAAGTTTAAGCCATGCAAGGAGGTCATTGACAAGATGAACCCAGATGCCAAAAAGAAGGCTGTGGAGGCTGCAGATAACATCTTTTGTTTCTAATATCCAGGCTGTGTCAATCGAGCCAAGATGCCCTTTTCTTCAAGCTAAAACATCTTCCTAGATAATAATGATCTATTGTGTTTACATGTGTTAATCTCAATTTCTGAAAAGAGACAATCAGCCTGGAACGACAAACTACAATAAAGTAATAAATATCTAAAAGCTAGATGCTTTGGATTCCAAGTACTTTTGTCAATGTAGCAATGTTTTGCCTTCCACTGGAACATTGAAAGGTGATGATAAGTTTATCTATCTATCTATATACTGTTTATAGTCTTGTGGTGCCCATCAAGTATTCTTTGTGATATATTAATAAAACGAAACAGGACAGTTTGCCATGTGTAGATCATTGTCTCGTTGGTCTCTGTAGGTTCTTCGCGCTCAAGGTTACCACAAGTTAGCCAGGGACACGCTCAATCAGCTCTAAGCCGAGTGCCATTTGGCTCTCCATCTGGTGCTGGATTTTCCGATCCTGTCGCTTTGATGCAAACGACCACAGGAACACTGTCGCAATAATATTGTAGAGCAACAAGGTCTCTCAGACAAGGTAATATCTAAATTTACTTTGAAAAGGAACAGAACTTCGAGAATAGAACTTTAAAGAATGTTACTGGGCGTTTTTGTTGTAAACGGCTTGGAGCTAGTGCTGATGGAACAAGGCAAAGGGAGGCCCTCAAAACCGTCGAGCGTTTCCTCCTCCTGTAACTCACGAACTTTGTGGCGAGCACATTGTAAGTTTTCTTTGGCAAATGCTTACGTACTGATCAGTAGGCGTGACATCTCCTGCTATAGGGTCAATTTTTTAGGATCCTAGAAATCTACTCCGGGACATGACGATCCAGACGTTAATACAGTTGTAAAATTTTAAATTATTGAAATCTAATAAGCCAAATGCGCGAATCTTTCCAAAACATCAACTTCACTTTTTTCTTTTCTTAGTTTCTTGTCCAGCTGAGAGCATAGGTTTGTCTAACTCAAGCATGAGTTCTGAATGAATACGTCCTGCGTTCTGACATGGTTGAATTATCCTTGCTCATATTTACGACCAGTCTAAAGTTTAAACATTAAGCCAATAGTTTGCCCATGACCTTCTTAAAAGTCAATATTAGTCACACAATACACATGTACGGCTACTTTGATTTTCTTCCTCTCGCAGCAGGTCCCGTCGTACTTGGTGCTCGCTCCCTCCTTGCCTGTCAAATACCTCCCAATCTTAAGGCTGGTGCCAAACTCGTTGCGGGAGAACGCAATAACAGCTCTCCAGGCTAGGCAGGAGCGTTCACTTCCACTGCCTTCTGAAGATCAATCCTAGCCAAGCCTCGCCACAACTCATATTGCAGTCGAGTAGAAGATGGAGGGTGTTTCTGTCCTGCATCGATACAAGTACGCATTAAGCTGGGAAAGCCTTCGCTGCCATGTCTGCCACCATCGTCCCTGGGCTCTGGGTGTACATCCTTCCGCCCTACGTTGAGGAAAGGACAGACAAGCTTGATCTTGTCTCCAGCCTTGTATGGTGGAGGGAACATCTTCCGTACAAGCCCTCCCGCCTTGTTGCCCTGCTAACGGGGACGGCCATCCAACCAGCAGCCAGCAGCCCCTCGTGATTTCTTCTTGATCAGAATGAGCATTGATATCTCTTCCAGGCACCGAGGAGATCCTGAAAGCCTGCTCGCTGTATATCGTCTGGGCCCGACGACGACGTGAAAGCTTTTCTATCCGACTTCGACGTCTCGACGTCGTGTTCCCCCTCCTTCCTCCATGGATGAGTTCTTCGATGTCACGAATGAGGCTGGGCGGTTTTCCACTTGCTTGGTTCCTTGGTGGCCGGGGAGGAGTACTCCGACGCAGTTCCAGCGAATCTGGGACCTGCTGAGAGATTGTGTGTCCCAGATGCTTATCGAAGAGCGCTACCGGGAAGATTGCGAAGGAGTCATCATGGAACTTCCATGATGGAATTTCTTCAGCAAGTCGAATCGGCCGCGCAATATCATCATGGGCCGGGGACAAAGCGCGTTTGGCGAGGAGAGGAAGAATCCCAACAATTTTGAGAAGGCGAAGGCCGAGCTCGCTGCGAAGATCATGGAACTCCCTCCGGCAATGAATCGGAAGCTCAAGATTGTGATATGCTACGCAGCTGCAGGCCAGTTCGTCCAGTTTTTCATGCTGCAAGCAAGAAGCGTTGATACACTGAGAAATCTCTGTTTTCTAACGTTCTTTTGGCGCAGGGAGTCCTCGCGCCAGTGACTGACGTGCTGGATGTGACTAAGCACGTACCGCTCAAGCTCTACTTCTTGTTGCTATGAATGGATGCGAGCGTGGCCGTGAGTGATGAACAAGCTCGCACCGATTCCGTACTGACTAGATCCTCCGCTTGATACGTTTGTTCTCCATGGTCACTGGGAAATCAAGCTCACGCTCAAGGGCGCTGTGAAGAGAATCGTGCACTTCGAAGCGTATTCTTCCGAGCACGAGGTCTGTCTTTCCGGTCTCGAGGCCGCTTACATTGCTGCCATAGAAGGTGGCGGACATATGATCAGTAGCGTGTTCGGGCTTACACTTGAGTCCAAGGAGGTAGAACTCATGTGCGAGGTGACTCTCACTGCCATCCCGAAGCACACGTAGGTTCTGATATCTCGGAATCATCAGAACGATCTTCTTCATCAGACAGTAGCAGCGGCAGTGGCGGCAGGAGGAGAAAGAGAGCGAGATTGGCGATGATCACCAAGAGCACGGAAGTGATCAAGGCGATGAAGGCGGTTTACAAGGTGGAAACTCTACTGGTCTATGCGAAGAAATACCCCGACAACGAGGAGGACATGTGCGACATGGTGTAGGGAGTTTTGCGAGGATTGAAAGCTTTGCACGAAGCTGGTAAGCATTCTTAATTTTCTTTTCTTCTAGTGTCTGTCTCATCCTTGTTTGTAAACTTCCAGGCTTGGTGCACAAGATCATGTATGACTACTCAAAAGAGAAGTACGTGCTGATCGATCTGGAGAGCGTCTGCAAGAATGAAGAAGTGCCAGCGTTTCGATTTAAAGGCTGGATCGCGACAAGCCTGGAGGCCGACTGGCGCTACACGATTTAATCCGACCTCCATCAGCTCCAGTCTGCAGAAGTCACCAAAGAGCAAGGACTGCTCTTTCCACTGCTAAAGGCTTCTCTTGCCATACAAGAATTAGGGCGGACGTGGATTATGCTTATTTATATTCTTCCAAGAGCCCTAATTTTAAAGTTACTTTAGAGTTTAGGGCTAGCTGAGTTTAAAGTTACTTTAGAGTTTAGATTATGCCTATCCAGATTTGTTCTTCCTCCTTGGAAATGCACGGGGACGAGGAGGATGAGCGATCCCGGGGCGTCGGGCTACGTCGTGCTGCTGCAGCGATGCATCGCGGGCAGGGATCTGGAGGGCGGCCGGCGATTGCACGCGCAGATCGTCCGCTCTGGCTGGCGCACCGATCTCTTCGTCGCCAATCTCCTCATCCAGATGTATGGCGCCTGCCGCTCCATTGCCAGCGCCATGGCCGCCTTCCGCGAGCTCCGCGTCCGCAACCTCTTCACCATCAATATCATCATCGCCGCGCTTGCCCAGAACGGCTGCTTCCTCGACGCGCGATCCCTGTTCGTGGAATCCCCCCGCCGCGACGTCATCACCTGGAACTCGATGCTCACCATCGCCGCACAGCGCCTCCGAATCGGGGAGGCGCGGGAGGTCTTCGCGCGGATGCCTGCCCGGAGCGTCGACTCGGCGAACGCGATGATCGCAGCAATTGCCCAATGCGGGCAAATTTGCGAAGCCCAGGAGTTCTTCCGCGACGCCGAGAGGGACGTCTCGAGCTGGAACAATTTCCTCCACCCCAGCGTCTCCTCCAGCGAGGTCGATCTCGCGCGATCGGTCTTCGATGCTATGCCGCACTGGGCACGGCCGATCGGCGCTCCAGCTGCTGGAACCATGTGCGCGCCCGATGCGATCACATTCTCGTGCATGCTCTGCGCGTGGAGCCACATTGGATCGCTGGATCACCTTGTTGAACATAGAAGGATAATGGCCACGTTGAAAAGAAACGAGTTCATGAGCGTGCCTTGGTACCTATAGTTTCATAGAAAAAACTTTTTTTTTTTATAAAAAATGTGCTTACTTCATTGGATGAATGGAATGCATCTCTCCAGATATGACAGACATGATGAGGTAGTAGCAAAAGATTGCAAACGCTGTGGTTCCTAGCAAGCCTGAAAGGAAGGAACCAAATCAGATTTAGAAATCGCATCTACAGCAAGTACCCCAAGCACTGTCGAGCTGAATAAAGACTTGGTTCAGAAACGGAAAAGCTGGAGGATTGACTAGCATGAAAACAATGATGTGGAGAAGCCAAATTATAGACAAAGCCAAGCTGCAACAAGAAAAAGAAAAGAAAAAGTGAATATCTTTGTCAAGCCTTCGGAGTCTATTTCTTACCCGAGAATGCCAAAAACAAGCTTGGCTAAGTAGAAAAGAACTGTAACAGCCCAGGATGTGTCTGCCTGAGAGAAAATCCAGCAATGAAATAACTTAAATGGGAAACTAGAGATACCTTCTCTCCCTGTGGGAATGCCTCATTCAGAGCTTGAACATCATCTTCCAAAAAGACAAGCTCCTGAATCGAGCTACACATATGCATTTGTCAACACGATCACGTCCACCATTGTTGTTTTTTTTTTTTTTTTTTTTTCCTCTGTGCCCAGCGGAGCTGACCTGCTGGACTTTCTTCACATTTTTCCGAAACTTTCGTCCTTTCTTCCCACCTCTTTCTTCGCGTTGGAGACCCAAGCTCGTTGGAGCGCTTGGCAGTCACCTCCTGCCAAGCCATCACCTTGAAGAGATTAGTTGCAAGAAACGTAAAAAGAATTGAAGCACACACCTTTACGTATTGAGCACGAGTAATAACACACTTGGGCCTATTCTTGAACGCAAATATGAGGCTCAGTGGTAATGTTGCCATTCCAACACCTCCAAACATCTGCAGGAAGAAAACAAAACATAAAACGACATTACCGTGAAGAGTATTGATCCTATTATTGTGTTTAATGCGATCACCGGCAGGTTTCTTTCTCCATGCTGTTTTGTTGATTTGCGTTAACTTCCGGATGCTTTTTTTATGTCTTGGCAGACTGAAAATGGCCTCGTAGAAGCAGTGACACTGCTCATTATGCAAATGCCGCAGCTGCGCCCGAGGCTCCCTGATGGAAGTCCTGGTGTTGCTATAGGTTTTAAGCCTGACTTTTCTAAGGTTTGATGTGGTTGCAGCAAAGTTTTTAGTTTCTCAGATTTTATTACATGCAGGCAAGGGAAAAATTGGCGAAGTCAGGTTTCCAAGCTTGAAAATAGTGTGTTTTGGGCGGAATGCAACCACCGTGGGATGCTTCTTGGTCTTCAGAAGCTAATACAGGTGCTATTGGGAAACGTTGATGTTCTACAGCGCTCTACGTTTCACTGGATGGAGCTGCTGGTGGCGCATTTCCTACATCTGATACCTTGTTCTTTGGTATGTATGAACTGTGTAGTGTGCTAAGTTCACTTGCAATTATCGGGTGCAGGTCTTAGATGGAATGCGTAGCATAGCTTCCAAGTGCAAAGGATTGAAAAGTTCTGGGGACGAAGACCTTCAAGAACTTTTATCTGCAATTATCAGCAACGACACCTAGGTAAATGCTCTTCCCCCTCACAGTGGTAAGAACTTCTCATGTCGAATATTTATATAAATTTTCTATCAGGATGATGGCGCATTGATGATCTCCTGATAGCAAAAGGGGAGGACGTTCGATCTCTTCTTGAAGAAGGCAGGCAAACTCTAGGCGGCTTGAGCTTGAAATAACTCCATCGTTTGGTTTATTCTCAAGTACTGTCCTCCTTCTTGATGTCTGTCTAACAATTGTCTCAGCTAGCACCTGTTTACCTCGCGGCTTGCCCAAAGCAAGGCCTGGGAATGCTTGAAGCTCTCCTAATGAAGCAGAGATGTTCCAATCAGAAACTGGCATTGACGGTTGGTCTTGGTGTGACGTTTTCTTAAATCTCAATGTGAATTTTGTTCAACAGGCACTAGAGATATGCCGCCTCTATGAACTTGATACCGTGAGCACAGCCATCGCCAGGGTTTAGTATCCTCTTCCTTTCCAGGCTTGGGGTTCTCACCTGTGTTTTATGTCTTCCAGGCTGTTGGTGTTCATAGTTTAAAGCATGGAAAGAAGGGCCAAGGGATAATGTGGCTTCGATTGGCCCGAGACGAGCAGAGGCTTTCTACTCTTGCGGATCAGATTTTGGACACAATAACGTCTGGTGAAGCTGATAATCTGGATAATCTCGAGGTAGCAGTCTTACGTTTTATTTGATACACGCACACTTTTAACGCTCTTTTCCCATGCCAGCATTTTGAGGGTCTCTGTGACATCCTTGGCTCGGGAGCAACGAAGCATCAAGGCCTGTCGTTCTTAGCAAGGTACTCACTTTATACAGTTGCGAAACTATCCGGAGCTAACGTCTAACTTGACGCAGGTACAAGAACTTCAAGGCAGCATCGGTATGGAGCTGTTTCTCGCATCTCGTTTACACTCTAAACTTCCGATCGATCAGGTGGAGCTGCTGGAATGGCCGGAGCAAGTGCTGGTTAGCGAGTCCGAAACAAACACTCTACTCTGCTGCCAGGAACTCTTCCTCGCCAGGGACCGGCTAGAGAACGACATCCTAAGCACCGCAGAGCCTGGCGCTGTGGATCGCGTGAGATTGGCGCTGGCATCCGACTTGGGCCGTGCCATCTTGCAAAGCTGATCGTTTTTCTGTTGGAATTCTTCTTGAAGTGTACAATTCAAAAGCCTGAGTCTGAGCAAATAGTTTGACCGTAAAAGTCAATATTTAGTCAACATGGTCTTCAGTCATCGAAAATGTTAGCTTTTCATCAGCAATTAATCATGGCTACGTTGATTTGCTAGTCACCCTCAAAAACCAAGCACTACTGCAGCAACATTGTCCCTTCATACTCTGCTGGGATCGGGAAACCAGATATGTGCAACACCTCCCTACACTAGAAGCATTTCATGCTTAGTTCCATCCCAATTGGACAAGCCCAAACAAGCTTTTGCTACTCTAGCAAAGGAATGTCTCATTAGCCCATGTAACATGATCTTGCAGACTATCCAGATCTGAACTAAATATTGTAGTAGACATTATGTTAAATTTAATGTCTACTAGGTAGATTATGGGTCGATGACCATGTCATGGGCATATTTATTTTCCCGCTTTGATTTGAAATTTTAGGACATTGGCTAAACACTAAATGTCTCTAAAAATTTAATGTATCTTGTAAGCTCATTAGGGTAGGGTTTTGCAAGAACTGAATTCTACAATATGGAATGGTTATGATGGTGACAATTTAAATCTCCTACACTATGATCACTAATAAGTTAATTTTCCTTCAAAGGATATCAATCCAAGAAAAAATAAACATTGAATCTCTTGTCTTTAGGTTTTAATATACTTCTTTTTGGTATGGTTAAGATTGTTTAGCTTAGTGCATACCCAAAAAACGCACATAAACAACTATGAAAATGTTGATTGTGTTTAATTGTTTATGCCATAGAAAAATCTTGATTGTTGAATTGCAAAAAGAAGCATCTAGTATGGGAAAAGTTGGATCTTCCACTTATGCAAGTTTGTTGCCCTTGTAAAATATTTTTCTTCTCAATAAATTTTATTTTTAAATTAACAATCAAATTAAAAGTGAGATTGAAAATTTTCGGCCAAACAAGACTAAAGTGTTGAGCCAACCCCAAGTGTTGATCAAGAAGTGTTAGTATTGAAAATACTAGTAACATAAAAATTTAGATAGCTTTGTTTCCTTTTTTCTTTTTAGATTGATTTTAATCTAGATCTTATAGCAAAATCTCTTGGGATTCTTACACAAAATCAAAAAAGTATTGCTAGATATGAATCTATATGATACAAACAAGATCAATATGAAACTTAATATTTCTATCATATGTACTGAATGTCATCTTATGTTTTAACATAATGTCAATAGGTCAGGACCCTCTATTCTAAGCTTTTGCATTATGACTACTCAAGATGGGAAAATTTAAATTCTCTTCATAGATACTTGCATTGTTAATGTTATGGCAAAACAAAAAAACACCTCTTTATTTGTTTATAGATCTTGATATTAATGTATTTTTTAATAATCCAGGAAGAAAATGGTGGATAGAGGAGTTTCACGTGATGTGGCAACATCACTAATAGCAATATGTGACAAATATTGTGTTACTTTGACATCCACAAATAGAAAGATCTATTGGAAAGATTAAATGTTATATAACACTTATGTTTACAGAAGACAGCATATTTCAAAACACTATCCAACATTGTCTAAGTGGAAAAGGAACATAAGTGTATTATATATTGAATGTTGTTTTAAATATATTGTCATTGAACATTTTTACTCTTATGACGAAGAAAAAAACATTCTCAAATGTTATGATGAGGTTAAAAGAATATAAATTTAGATTTTAGCAAAGCACTTTGGTCATATTCTTGATTCACTACAAAATAAAGCTTTATTTCTAATTCACAAGTATGTACTCGCAAATGACATTAAATTTGTTTATGTTACTTAATGTCTTCAGTATTGATATTAAATTCTACTTCTAGGTTAGTAAAACAACAATATATCACAGAGTTATATAGGAGGTGCAATACAAATTACATTGAGCACTTGCAATAGGTGGGTCGAGATGTGATAAGGCACATAACACTACTAGAAGAACATAAATGTTGGAGGTTTTTTATGTATCCTAGGGAAGTAAAAACAATAGCAGCATTTATTGTTTATGGTGAAAAGTGGAGTAGTTGTGACTCAGAAAGTGTTGTTATAGAGATTTATGCTTTAGGTCAAGTGGATAAAATGTTCTTGGCATTTTCATGCTCTTTATCCAAAGTTTGGTGAATGAAAAAGGGTTTCATTTTGGTCCTCCAAACATCTTAGATACGTGAAGTAGCAATGCATTAAACTTGGATGCATGGACACGAGGTATGACATGGAATGAGCAGGGGTGATGCATGGGTATGGCATGACTATATAAAGGGCATGGAATTAAAAGAATATTCTACTTGGGACATTTAATTCACAATCTGGACCGTCTCAGGTTACCTGGGCTTAGGTGGGAACGTGCTTGCAAAAGGTCCTTCCCTGTTGACGTTCACGGCCCATTTCCTGAAACGCAGGGGGAACGGCTTGCCAGTCGTTTTCCTTCACCATCAATATTCCGAATAAAGCTTATGTTTTTGAACTCTCCGGGACGATGCTGTCAAAGCTTTTGTGACTTAGTGGACCTGTGGTTTTCCACAAGCGCTGGTTCCTTTGCGACGCGATGCCGTTCCAGCAACCGGCTGGGGCAAAGTCGTATACGCGTTTGGCAAGGAGAATCCGAAGTCTGAGCTCGCTGCAATCTACCAAGTGGAGTAACCAGAGAACTGTACGGAACCTTATCATGCCTTAAAAGCATATGCGTAAAGAATATGAAACGATACCTGATTTTTTTCAAAGTCATGGCTACTGCACCGAACGCGTTTGGTGTAAACGCGTTTCCTGCACCGAACTCGTGTTCTGCACTAAACTAATTCATCAGAACGCTCAATCCACCTAATCACGTTTTGCCGGGTATACTGCATTTTTGGAGGTATATGTATGACAAAGTCATGCAGCACGTGCTGCGATGAGTCAAGCTATACTTCATTTTGGTATAAACATTAAACTAACTCATTTACGCCATTATAGAAATTGAGTCTTCTTCTGGTGTACATACCTCTTCTGAAGGTGAATTGCAGGCCAAACTCGTTGCGGGAGAACGCAATAACAGCTCTCCATGCTAGGCAGGAGCGTTCACTTCCACGGGCCACGCCTTCTGATAGCCAATCCTCGCCACAACTCAGAAGATGGAGGGTGTTTCTGTCCTGTGTCGATACAAGTCGGGTTCCCCACGCATTAAGCTGGGAAAGCCTTAGATGCCATGTCTGCCACTATCTTCCTTGGGCTCTGGGTGTACATCCTTCCGTCCTACGTTGAGGAAAGGAAAGACAAGCTTGATCTTGTCTCCAGCCTTGTAAATCTTGGTGGAGGGAACATCTTCCGTCCGCCATGTTGCCCTGCTGACTGCTGACGGGGGACGGCCATCCAACCACAGCCAGTTTAAAGTTATAAATTTTTTGGTTCAAAAGCTACTAACACTCCCACTCAATTTGGGTCTGGACTTACTGCTCAGAGTGGTGCACAAGGTCTCCAATAGCTGGATCTGCATATAAGCTGCATATTTCCATGAGCTGGATAGTGCTATACCTCCATTAGCTAGATAAATGAAACTCCAGTGTCTGGATTTATTTATCTGGCAACTCCAAGAGTTGAAGTTTACTGCAATCAGCAATAAACTTCTCAAGAACTAACACCTTCGTGAGCAAGTCAGCTAGCTGCTCATAAGTAGTGCAAAACTGGAGAACAATCATGCCATGTAAAACTTGTTCTTGCACATAATGATATCGAAGTTGAATATTCATGAAACTTGGTTGTCTTGGTCAAAGTATAACACTGATATTATCACAGTAAAGTAGAGTCAGCTGATCCTGGGAAAAGCCAAGCTCTGACAGAAAGAGGCGCAGCCATGCTGCTTCCTTACAGGTGGAGCAAGTTGTAATATACTCAGACTCTTTGGAAGATAAAGCTGTGACAGATTGGCACTTGCTCTACCTGTTGAGGTATACGCTCTCTATGACATGATCTTAGGTGGCAGTAGTGTCACTTCACTGCTCCAGGTATTCTTGATCATGTATATATATTTATGATATTATATACGACTATTTTTCGAGTCATCCTTGTCCATCTTAGCTTCCACTCTTCTTCTCTTCACTGCCAAGTAATAGCACTGCTGCCCAAAAAGAAAATATAGCCAGATGTAGACTTCCTGGTCTCAAAATCATCAGCCCAGTCGGCATCACAATATCCACGTAGCTGGAAGTCATCTAGGACAGAAGAATGAGGACAAAGGAGCAAATCCCTTGAAGATAGCGAAAAATTCTCTTGATCGCTTGCCAATGTGCCATGCCTGGATTCTCAGAAAACTTGGCGACAATGCCCACTGCATGTGCTAGATCTGGACGAGTGCAGACCAATACATGAGACTGCCCATGGCAGCTCAATAAGGAAAACGTTGCATAGCCTCACGATTAGCGGGAGTTTCAGGAGACTGACCAGAGGAGAGATGAAGATCGATCTCCATAGGAGTACAATCCTGCATCTATAGAACCTCGTCAATGTATCGCTGATGAGATAGATAAAGATAGCCGCGAACTCTATCTCGCAAAATATGAAGGCCAAGACAATACTGAATCTCGCCTATATCATCCATCTCAAACTGAGATGTGATCTCTGATTTAATCTCATGAAGAAAAGGCAGATTTTTGGAGACTAAGATTAAATCATTAACGTAAAGAGCCAAGATCACAAGCAAGTCACCAAAGTGTTTGAAATAAACATTTTGATCAGCTGCATTTCGAGAGAAACCAATATCTTGGTGAACCAAGCTAATAAGTTTGGCTCTTCGGGAAATCCGTTAGGCTGGGAAATAAAAATCTCTTCTTCTAAATCGCCATGCAGAAATGCTATACGCACGTCCATTGATGGATTTCCCAATTGTACTGCGCTGCCAATGCCAACATGACTCGTATAGAGGCCATTCGAACCACTGGGGAGTAAGTGTCGGTGAAGTCAAGCCCTGCAATCTGTGTAAAGCAGCGTGCAACAAATCGGGCTTTGAAACGAATAACTTGATTGTTAGCATTGCGCTTCACACGAAAGAGCCACTTCGTACTCAAATCTGCTGGCTTGGAAACCAAAATCCAAGTGTTGTTGCGCATTAAAGAATTGTACTCAGAGTCCATGGCTACTCTCGAAGAAGAGGCATGTGGACTTGATAACACTTCATCAACTGACTGTGGCTCAGGAATAGTTTCAGCATTAGCAAAATAAAAAGCTTAAACCTGAATAGATATTAGAAGTATCACTTTGAGCTTGCGGCCGATCAGCATCATCCTGAGGTGGAATAGGAGGTGGTGGCGACGGAGGCAGATTTATAGGTGGCGGTGGTGGGAGTGCTCCCACTAGAACTGGAACATCTGCTACTGGCCAGTCATCAACCAGCTGCCATTTTGCAAGGGTTGGCAGTTCAAGCTGCTTGAAAGGAAATATGTCTTCAAACACACGAACATCCCTAGAGATAAAGAATTCTAAAGTCAATAAGCTTTAGTGTCATCTCTATAACCAACGAAAATTGCTTTGATAGTCCTAGAGGCAAGCTCGATCCAGATTTTTGGTATAAGCCAGACTACCAAAAACTACCAGACACTCCTTTGCATAATGGCCAGGCTTTTTACAATAGTTACAACGAATAGGCCACCTCTTCTGTTTATTGGAGTTGCTCCCACTGGGATTGCTTCCACTCTGACTTGCAGCAGGAATTGAAGTGGTAGAACCAGAAGGATGGGCCTCTTGAGTTATAAAGACTGTTGCCTTGGCTGCCTTTCTTGATGTCATACGTAAATTATGCTGCCATTGTTCCTCCTTGAGTGCAACACATATTTGAAGAAAGGTAAGCTTCATTTGCATACTCTGTAAAGACGTGCAGATCTGTTGGGAATGCTCGATATCTAGAATACCATTCAATAATGCTGCTCATTTGTCCACATTTGTGACGGTTTGCTTTGCTGCTCTAAGGTGAACCTCAATATAATTTATATTGCTAATAAATTTCTCAATGCGTTCATGAGGATCCATCTCCATAGAAAAGAAATCCTCTTTCAGGGTCACAATGCTCCTCTGTCTGTGCTCCAAGACTTTGGGATAAAGCAGTCCAATTCTCGCTGGAAGTCTTGGCACAATCAAGAAGATGAATTTACTGCTCACCAAGACCAATCCTGATTATGGAAAAGACTCGAATTTTCAATCCTGATCTAGCAGCGGGTTCTGGCTCAATGCCTGCAACAATAGCATCATAATTATCTCGCACAAACGTAACCTTCAACAGCGCTGCCCATGTGTGGAATTCTCCCTTGTAGACAGGGATAAGGCGCTACTCCACAATAGCACCACTGCTGCTGCTCGCCATGTGACTGCGAACATGCAACAATCTCTTGCGATTGATACAGTGCCGGAGATTGCAGGAAGCACGGTCTACCATTCACAGCTCTGATACCATGATGATACTGCTAAAGAGCATCTTGATCTATTACACCCTAGGTACAGAGGAACAGAACCTGCCTATGTGGCATAGAGCCAGTGACTAAGCTATTAACATTGAAAGCCTGCTCAATATCATCTCTGGGCGCGACGACATGAAATCTTTTCTATCCGACTTTTGAGAGATTGTGCTGCCCAAATGCTTATCGAAGAGCACTACTGAAGGAGTCATCATGGAACTTCCATGATGGAAGTTCTTCAGCAAGTCGAATCGGCCATGCAATATCATCATGGGCAGGGGGCAAAGTATTGGAAGCTCAAGATTGTAATATGTTATACAGTTGCAGGCCAATTGATCTGGATTGCTAGACACCAGATTAAGATAATAAGATAAAAAAAGGCCTTATAATCAAAAGATCACCCCTTTAGCCAATTAATATAAAGTGTAAAGGATAGAATTTTAACAGTGAATGAGGCTTGATTTCTTAGTGGTACTACAATGCAATGGCAATGCAGTTCCAGCAAATCTGGGACACCTGCTGAGGGATTGTGCTGCCCAAACACTTATCGAAGAGTGCTACCAAAGGAGTCACCATCGAACTTCCATGATGGAAGTTCTTCAGCAAGTTGAATCAGCCGCACAGTATCATCATGGGCCAGGGGCAAAGTATCAGAAGCTCAAGATTGTGATATGCTACGCAGCTATAGGCCAGTTCGGCCAGTTTTTCATGCTCTAAGCAAGAAGCATACGTGATTCACTGAGAAAACTCAGTTTTCTAACGTTCTTTTGGCGCAGGGAGTCCTCACACCAGTGACTGACGTGCTGGATGTGACTAAGCAAGCTCTACTTCTTGTTGCTATGAATGGATGTGAGCGTGGCCGCTGAAACCCCGTGAGTGATGAACAAGCTCGCACCAATTCGGTACTGACTAGATCACCACTTGATACGTTTGTTCCCCATGGTCACTGCGAAATCAAGCTCATGCGTGAAGAGAATCGTAGACTTCGAAGCGTATTCTGCTGAGCACGAGGTCTGTCTTGCCGGTCTCGAGGCTGCTTACATGGCTGCCATAGGAGATGGCGGACATATGATCAGTAGCGTGTTCGGGCCTACACTTGAGTCCAAGGAGGTAGAACTCATGCGCGAGGTGACTCTCTCTGCCATCCCGAAGCACACGTGCTCTTCTGATATCTCGGAATCATCAGAACGATCTTCTTCATCAGACAGTAGCAGCAGCAATGGCAGCAGGAGGGAGATTGGCGACGGTCACCAAGAGCAAGGAAGTGATCAAGGCGATGAAGGCGGTCTACAAGGTGGAAACTCTACCGCTCTGTGCGAAGAAATAGCCTGACAACAGAGAGGACATGCGCAACATGGCGTATGGAGTTTTGTGAGGATTGAAAGCAAGCTTTCTCAACTTTCTTTCCTTCTGTCTTTTGATCTTAGTGTCTGTCTCATCCTTGTTTACAAACTTTCGGGCTTGGTGCACAGGATCATGTGTACTCGAAAGAGAATTAAAGAGAAGTACGTGCCAGCGTTTCGATTTAAAGGCTGGATCGCGACAATGCTGGAGTCCAACTGGCGTTACACAATTCAATCCGACTTCCATCAACTCGGACTTGTGCTCCAGTCTACTGAAGTCGAACCAAAGAGCAAGGACTGCTTGGAGTTCATCGATTTTCTCTTGAGCAGACCTCAGGCGACCACTGCTAAAAGCCTTCTCGAACACAAGTGGATCTTGCGAGTTCCCTGTGAGAATCTGAAAAAATACCTAGAATATGCTAAGAATATGCCATAGAAGAATTAGGGCTGACGTAGATTGCCTATCCTTAGAATATGCTTTGAACTCAATCTTGTTCTTGTGTTTCAATTCTTTTTACGTTTCTTGCAACTAATCTCTTCAAGGTGATTGGCAGGAGGCGACTGACTTAGCCAAGCGCTCCAACGAGCTTGGGTCTCCAATGAGAAGAAAGAGGTGGGAAGAAAGGACGAAAGTTTCGGAAAAATGTGAAGAAAGTCCAGCAGGTCAGCTCCAGAGAAGAAAAAAAAAAACAACAACAACAACAACAATGGTGGACGTGATCGTGTTGACAAATGCATATGTGTAGCTCGATTCAGGAGCTTGTCTTTTTGGAAGATGATGTTCAAGCTCTGAATGAGGCATTCCCACAGGGAGAGAAGGTATCTCTAGTTTCCCATTTAAGTTATTTCATTGCTGGATTTTCTCTCAGGCAGACACATCCTGGGCTGTTACAGTTCTTTTCTACTTAGCCAAGCTTGTTTTTGGCATTCTCGGGTAAGAAATAGACTCCGAAGGCTTGACAAAGATATTCACTTTTTCTTTTCTTTTTCTTGTTGCAGCTTGGCTTTGTCTATAATTTGGCTTCTCCACATCATTGTTTTCATGCTAGTCAATCCTCCAGCTTTTCCGTTTCTGAACCAAGTCTTTATTCAGCTCGACAGTGCTTGGGGTACTTGCTGTAGATGCGATTTCTAAATCTGATTTGGTTCCTTCCTTTCAGGCTTGCTAGGAACCACCGCGTTTGCAATCTTTTGCTACTACCTCGTCATGTCTGTCATATCTGGAGAGATGCATTCCATTCATCCAATGAAGTAAGCACATTTTTTATTAAAAATTTTTTTTTTCTATGAAACTATAGGTACCAAGGCACGCTCATGAACTCGTTTCTTTTCAACGTGGCCATTATCCTTCTATGTTCAACAAGGTGATCCAGCGATCCAATGTGGCTCCACGCGCAGAGCACGCACGAGAATGTGATCGCATCGGGCGCGCACATGGTTCCAGCAGCTGGAGCGCCGATCGGCCGTGCCCAGTGCGGCATAGCATCGAAGACCGATCGCGCGAGATCGACCTCGCTAGAGGAGACGCTGGCGTGGAGGAAATTGTTCCAGCTCGAGACGTCCCTCTCGGCGTCGCGGACGAACTCCTGGGCTTCGCGAATTTGCCCGCATTGGGCAAATGCTGCGATCATCGCGTTCGCCGAGACGACGCTCCGGGCAGGCATCCGCGCGAAGACCTCCCGCGCCTCGCCGATCCGGAGGCGCTGCGCGGCGATGGTGAGCATCGAGTTCCAGGTGATGACGTCGCGGCGGGGGGATTCCACGAACAGGGATCGCGCGTCGCGGAAGCAGCCGTTCTGGGCAAGCGCGACGATGGTGATGTTGATGGTGAAGAGGTTGCGGACGCGGAGCTCGCGGAAGACGGCCATGGCGCTGGCAATGGAGCGGCAGGCGCCATACATCTGGATGAGGAGATTGGGCTCCACGGCGGAGTTTTTCTCGTCGATTTCTCCTTCCTCGTCGGCCTCTGGCATTTGGTAGGCGACGAAGAGATCGGTGTGCCAGCCAGAGCGGACGATCTGCGCGTGCAATCGCCGGCCGCCCTCCAGATCCCTGCCCGCGATGCATCGCCGCAGCAGCACGACGTAGCCCGACGCCCGGGATCGCTCATCCTCCTCGTCCCCGCGCATTTCCGAGGAATAGTCTGTCGTGCCCTAAAATTCGTTTGAGTTTAAAGCATATTCTAAGAATAGGCATAATCTACGTCAGCCCTAAATTCTAAGGTAGTATAATCCACGTCCGCCCTAATTCTTCTATGGCATATTCTTATTCTGTGTACTCGCGAGATCCACTTGTGTTCGAGAAGCCTTTTAGCACTGGTCGCCTGAGGCCTGCTCAAGAGCAAATCGATGAACCAAAGAGCAGTCCTTGACTTCTGTAGACTGGAGCACGAGTCCGAGTTGATGGAAGTCGGATTAAATCGTGTAGTGCCAGTCGGCCTCCAGCCTTGTCGCGATCCAGCCTTTAAATCGAAACGCTGGCACTTCTTCATTCTTGCTGACGCTCTCCAGATCGATCAGCACGTACTTCTCTTTCGAGTAGTCATACATGATCTTGTCCAGGATGAGACAGACACTAGAAGAAAAGAAAATTAAGAAAGCTTACCAGCTTTGTGCAAAGCTTTCAATCCTCGCAAAACTCCCTACACCATGTCGCACATGTCCTCCTTGTTGTCGGGGTATTTCTTCACACAGAGCGGTAGAGTTTCCACCTCGTAGACCGCCTTCATCGCCTTGATCACTTCCGTGCTCTTGGTGACCGTCGCCAATCTCGCTCTCTTTCTCCTCCTGCCGCCACTGCCGCTGCTACTGTCTGATGAAGAAGATCGTTCTGATGATTCCGAGATATCAGAACCTAAGCGAGAGGACGTGTGCTTCGGGATGGCAGAGAGAGTCACCTCGCGCATGAGTTCTACCTCCTTGGACTCAAGTGTAGGCCCAAACACGCTACTGATCATATGTCCTCCAGCTTCTATGGCAGCGATGTAAGCGGCCTCGAGACCAGCAAGACAGACGAATACACTTCGAAGTCTATGATTCTCTTCACGCGTGAGCATGATTTCGCAGTGACCATGGGGAACAAACGTATCAAGTGGAGGCCTGAAATGATCTACTCAGTACGGAATCGGTGCGAGCTTGTTCATCACTCACAGGGTTTCAGCGGCCACGCTCACATCCATTCGTAGCAACAAGAAGTAGAGCTTGCTCAGTCCATCCAGCACGTCAGTCACTGGCATGAGGACTCCCTACGCCAAAAGAACGTTAGAAAACAGAATTTTCTCAGTGAATCACGTATGCTTCTTGCTTGGAGCATGAGAAACTGGCCGAAATGGCCTGCAGCTGTGTAGCATATCACAATCTTGAGCTTCTGATACTTTTCCCCTGGCCCATGATGATATTGCACGACTTGCTGAAGAACTTCCATCATGGAAGTTCCATGATGACTCCTTTGGTAGCACTCTTCGATAAGTGTTTGGGCAGCACAATCTCTCAGCAGGTCCTAGATTCACTGGAACTGCATTGCCATTGCATTGTAGTACTCCTTGGCCACCAAGGAACCAGCTGTTAGGATCCTATCCTAATTGGCTAAATGGGTGATTATTTGATTGTAAAGCTTTTTCTTTATCCTATTATCTTGGCATGGTGCTTAACACCCAATTATATTTAGGCCACCCTTTAATCAACCAACTTACAGCTGCATCAATCTTGAGCTTCTGATGCTTTGCCCCGTGTGGCCGATTCAACTTGCTGAAGAACTTCCATCCTGGAAGTTCCATGATGACTCTTTTGATAGTGCTCTTCGATAAGCATTTGGGCAGGACAATCTTTCAGCATGTCCCAGATTCACTGGAACTCCATTGCCGGCCACTAAAGAACTAAACCTTATTCATTGTTAGGATCTTATCCTTTACATCTTATGCTAATTGATTAAAGGGGTAATCACTTGATTGTAAGGCCTTTTCTTTATTCTATTATTTTGACTTCATTTGGGACATCAAATAACGAGGAGTCATGTCAAAATGTCCCCTATCAAAGTTAGAAAGAAAAGCTTTCATGTCATCGTGCCCAAAGACAATAAGGAGCAGGCTTTCAGGATGTTAGTAGCTCTATGCCACATAGGCAGGTTCTGTTCCTCTATACCTAGGGTGTAATAGATCAAGATGCTCTTTAGCAGTATCATCATGGTATTAGAGCTGTGAATGGTACACCATGCTTCCTGCGATCTCTGTATTAATCACGGGAGATTGTTGCATGTTCACAGTCATATGGCAAGCAGCAGCAGGGCGCCATTGTGGAGTAGCGTGATTGGAAAATTCGAAAAAAGTGAGTCTTTTCCATAATCAAGATTGGTCTTGGTGAGCAGTAAATTCATCTTCTTGATTGTGCCAAGATTTCCAGCGAGAATTGGACTCCTTTATCCCAAATTCTTGGAGCACAGACAGAGGAGCATGTTGTGACCTTGAAAGGGCGTGAACCCATTGAGAAATTTATCAATGATATAAATTAAATTATATTGAGGTTTGCCTTAGAGCAGCAAAGCAAGCTGTCACAGATGTGGACAAATGAGCAGCATTATTGAATGGTATTCTAGATATTGAGCATTTCCAACAGATCTGCACGTCTTTACAGAGTATGCAAATGAAGCTTACCTTTCTTCAAATATGTGTTGCACTCAAGGAGGAACAATGGCAGCATAATTTACGTATGGCATCAGGAAAGGCAGCCAAGGCAACAGTCTTTATAGCTCAAGAGGCCTATCCTTCTGGTTCTACCACTTCAATTCCTGCTGTGAGTCGGAGTGGAAGCAATTGTTGAGTATACGCTCTCTATGACATGATCCTAGATGGCAGGAGTGCCACTTCACTGATCCAGGTGTAGGCTAGAGGCATGTCTCTTCATCATGTATATATATCTTTGATATTATATACGACTATCCTTGGAGTTATCCACCATCGTAGCTTCCGCTCTTCTTCTCTTCAGCAATCCCAGTGGGAGCAACTCCAATAAACAGAAGAGGTGGCCTAGTCGTTGTAAGCCTGGCAATTACGCAAAGGAGTGTCCTAAAGGCTGTTGCTATCGCCTCAGGCAAGTATGTTCCTCCTGACCGTGCTAGCCAAAGTGCAAATAATTCCACACAATCTTGTGCATATATGGCAAGCTATGGTCCCTTGGAGTCAGAAATTCTTTAGCTCAACACTGCTGCAGCATTTCATGTCATGCTGTTCAAGGATGTTTATCAGACTTATAGTGAGATTCTGACTGGTAAGCGCATTCGTGCTGCTGGAGGACGCTTTTATGAGGCCAAGGGCGTTGGCACCATGATGGTCCAGCTCAAGAATGGCGAGACTTGACTTATAGAAGATGTCTTTTATGTTTCCGAGTTGACAGAGAATTTACTTTCCTTGGATGCATCGTTATCATCTTTCTGGCGATCCCAATGGTATTTCTATCACTCTGCGAGTCTATGTATGGAAGCAGATATGCCAGTATTTACAAGCTAGATGCTATAATGATCCCACCTTTCCGAATTTTCTTAACAAGAGAGTTGCGTATGTTGCTGTGGCATCGCCGCTTTGGACATGTACCCCATTGTCAAGCAGAACCTTGTTACTGCTTGTGATTTGGACTGACTTCATGGTTTAGGGGATTGCGAGGCTTGCATGGAAGGCAAGCATCACTTTAGATTGTGGTCGTAAATACGAGCAAGGATAAATTCAATCATGTCAGAACGACTCATGCTTGAGCTAGACAAACCTGTGTTCTCAGCTGGACAAGAAAGTAAGAAAAGAAAAAAGGGAATTGTTGTTTTGGAAAAATTGGATACATTGTACAAAATGCATGGCCTGCGCATTTAGCTTACTAGATTTCAAACCCAAACAGTGCCATGTTAGAGGAACACTAGGAACAATTAATCTAAAAATTTACAACTGCCTTAACATCTGGATCGTCTTGAACGAGCGAGAAATCTACTCCCGGAGTAGATCTCTAGGATCATAGCAGGAGATGTCACACCTGTGATGCGCTGCCGAAATAGCCTGAAACAACTGATCAGGACGCAAGCATTTGCCAAAGAAAACTTACAATATGCTCGTGACAAAGTTCGTGAGTTACAGGAGGAAAAGCTCAATGGTTTTGAGGGCCTCCCTTTGCCTTGTTCCATCAGCACTGGCTGCGCTGTGCCAAGCCGTTTGCAACAAAAACGCCCAGTAGCATTCTCTGAAGTTCTATTCTCGAAGTTTTGTTCCTTGTCAAAGTCAATTTAGATATTACCTTGTCTGAGAGACCTTGTTGCTCTACAATATTATTGCGACAGTGTTCCTGGGGTCGTTTGCATCAAAGCAACAAAATCCGGCACCAGATGGAGAGCCAAATGGCACTCACAGCCAAGCCATCAACTTGTCCCTGGCTAACTTGTGGTAACCTTGAGCGCGAAGAATCTACAGAGACCAACGAGACAATGATAATGATCTCATGTTTCCTTTTATTAATATATCACAAAGAATACTTATGCTTCTTGATGAGCACCACAAGACTATAAACAGTATATAGATAGATAGATAAACTTATCATCACCTTTCAATGTTCCAGTGGACGGCAAAAATTTGCTACATTGACAAAAGTACTTGGAATCCAAAGCATGTAGCTTTTAGATATTTATTACTTTTATTGCAGTTTGTCGTTCCAGGTCTATGAAGTCGTTGTTTTCCTGATTGTCTCTTTCAGAAATTGAGATTAAAAAATATAAAAAACTGTTATTTTCAGTAAATGAAAGTCATGAGGGACTTGATTATTATTTAGAAAGATGTTTTAGCTTGAAGCAGGGGGCATCTTGGCTCGATTGACATAGCCTGGCTATTAGAAACCAAAGATGCTATCTGCAGCTTCCACAGCCTTCTTTTTGGCGTCTGGGTTCATCTTGTCAATGACCTCCTTGCGTGGCTTAAACTTACGGAAGGTGAACTCTGCAAATAGAACAAAAGGACCGTGCAATTTTCAGTGGTTTACATTAGACACCTCACCTCCAGTGATGCCATTGGAATCCTCCTGATGGAACAGAATACGGTTGCTATCAGACCAAGCAAAGAGTTTGATGCGGTACACCTGCTCAAATACACGAGCTGTGACTGAAATACAAAGGGCAGCCTGGGCACAAACCTTGAAGTACGGGT